GCCTCTCTTAAAAGTTTGCTTTTAAACACTTCTTGAGCTTCTTTTTCACGTTGTAACCAAAGAAAATGATTTTCATCATTAATTTTCCTTATAAATTTATTAGAAAATTTATGAAGCAATGTTGCTTGAACAATATTTTAAAGCAATGTATTGTTGAATCACGCATTAAAAACTGGTATGCCGGCATTCTTATGACTTTTATATAACAATTTTGGAATGTTTTTGAATATTAAGTAAAATTTAATAAAAATGTTTAGTTTAACAAAAAATTTTTAAAATGTATTCAAAAATACTGAAGTTCCACGGAATTGTCGTCCTCATTTTCATCACTGTATTGATCATCATCCTTTGAAGCTAATGATTGTTTAGCAATCATTTGCCTTTTTAATTTTCTTTTCTGTTTTTTCTGCAGAGCTTTCCATTTTTTGTGACTAAATGCAATTTTTTATATTATACAAATTATACATATTTATTATTATTATTAACATAATTTTTTAACATTAAAAAAATTTCTAGTTTCTAATCTAACATTTATCATAATAATAAATAATTTTAATTATAAATTATAGTTAATAAAAAAATAAATTTAAATACTGATTTATTATAGATCATATATATATATTTTATATATGATTTACTTTACTTTTACTTTGTTTTTCTTTTTTAAACTTCATGTTGTTTTTGGTTTACTTACCTTATTTTTAAGTTTAATTGATATTATAAAATAAATAACATGATAATTACTTATAATTTATATCATATCTTCAATTGCAATGATATGAAATGTAAAATCTTAAAAAATTAAAAAAAATTAAATTTTAAAACTAAAAGAAACCTCAGTTTGTTTTCCTTGCCAGCACACTCCCACTCAGTCATTATGATATGAACTATGAAGACTCTGAAAATCAAAGTTGAAATGTTTATGCAAAGTAATTTTGAAATAATATAAAACCACAAATTCCAATACAAAAAACACAAAAACGAAAGTAAAAACGGTGCAAACTGAATAACAGAATAAATCGCATCTTTCGAAGAACTCTACTTAACGTAAGTTAACTTTTAAAATAAAAACACGGGTATATGAAACGTGTAACGTCAAATATATATATATATATATATATATATATATATATATATATATATATATATTATATACATAATAACTAAAACAAAACCTCATTACAGAACATTTATTAACATTTAAATCAAACTTTCATTTGTTGCATTACACCAATCAGAAAAATCTTCCAGACATGTAAAAGTTTCCTTTCATTGAGTTTATTGAACTAAACAATTCAGTATCATCAGCGTAAAAACTTAATTGGACAGAACTATTCTACAATTTTTAACATGTCGTTAAGACAGAACAAGACACTTCCCTAGGGTACTCCGCTGCGTTTGATAACCAATTATTTACCCTCACTCTTTCAGACTTTCCTGCACAGGTAGATAGAAATTTCGTGTTATAAGATATAGGTGACTGCTATCAATGCTATTGGGTGGATGGATGGATGGATGAAAGGATGGATAGATGGATGGATGGATGGATGGATGGATGGATGGATGGATGGATGGATGGATGGATGGATGGATGGACGGATGGACGGATGACAGACATTAATAGATATATAGATGGATAAAGAGAGAGAGAGAGAGAGAGAGAGAGAGAGAGAGAGAGAGATGAGAAAAAGAAAAATGAGAGAAAAAAAAAAGATAGAGAGTAAGAAAGAAAGCGCGAGAAGATGGGAGTGTCTTACACATAGCATCATTACTCGGCATTCTGTCACCGGCAGCAGCATCATTGTAGAATCAAAGCTGGAATGTGTTGACATGGCAACGACGAATTCATTACAATATTGGAATGTAGCTGGCGCAATCTATTTGATACAAACTTTGAAATTTATTAACAATTAGTGTGTTAAAACTTTTAGTTTTATATCAACATTTTAGTCAACCTATTCACAAAACTTACAAATATGGAAAAGATAAAGTAAACTGTTTATGTGAACTGAAAAATTATTTTTAAACTTTATAAACAATTTGAATTATTTCGCAGAAATAGACTGAACTCCGCAATTGATCCCACGTCGAAATTTCTATACAGATGGTTAATAGTTATATCTGTTGCTGTAATTTACAACATAGTTGTTATTATCGCTAGAACAACCTTCACAGAAATACATTGGAACTGTTTTTACGTATGGATGACGCTTGATTACGCGTTTGATTTAATATACATAATAGATACTTACATTCAATTCCAGACATGTATGTTTGATTTTATTCAAATTTGACCTTTAGTAAATTTAAACTTGTTCATTCATTAATAAACTTTTTTTAGCACGATTTGAGCAAGGAATCCTGATTACAGATGTCCGAATCTTACATAAAACTTTCCTAAGATCAAAATCTTGTTGGATCACAATTTTTAGTATTTTGCCGATAGATTTTTTATTTATTTTCATTGGTACGCAGCACTGTTACATAAGATTTAATCGCCTCCTAAGAAGCGGGAGAATGTTCATGGCTCTGAATAAGATTGAATCGGAAACGACATATCCAAACATGTTCAGGATAGTATCTCTGGCATTTAATATCTTAGTAGCCATTCACTGGTCTACATGTTTTTATTATCAATTTAGTAAATGGTCAACGCTAGGGTCTACACAATTTGTTTTCCGAAAAAACGGTCAAGATGCGTCGACTTTATATGATTACATGGCCTGCTGTTATTGGTCTACGATGATGTTGTTAACGTTAGTTGAAGTGAATAAACCTACCACGAGCTTAGAATTTTTCTATGCTATAGTTTTAGTTTTAACAGGGGTTTTGTTAGTTGCTTACATTGTTGGAGAAATTGGAAATGCTGTTTCAAAAGTTAGCGCACAAAGAGGCGAATTCCAAGCAAAATTAGATGCCATTAAACGTTATATAATTTATAGAAAAATTGGAAAAACTTTGGAGTCTGAAATACTGTCATGGTTTGACTATTTGAAAACTGAAGGAGGAGAAAATTCCTTCACAGACGAAGATTCTATATTAGAAATACTTCCAAGAAGTCTTCAAATAGAAATTAATTCGAGTGTCCATGCAGCCACATTAAACAGAGTAAATCTCTTCAAAAATTGCGATAAGGGACTGCTAAATCAATTGGTTTTGAAGCTAAAACCAATTGTGTTCGGACCAGGAGATTATATATGTAGAAAAGGAGACATTGGAAGAGAAATGTACATCCTCAAAAAAGGGAAGCTGGCTGTTGTAGGAGATAACGGACAACAAACATTCGCTCATCTGTCAGATGGTGCGGTTTTTGGAGAAATTAGCCTTCTGAATATTGTAGGCAAGTTCATATCATTATGTTGCTAAACTGATTATATTTTTATCTAATATATTTCAGGAAATAAAAATGGAAACAGGAGAACTGCAAATATTCGAAGCGTCGGTTATTCTAATCTTTTCTTTCTTTCTAAGGAAGATTTATGGGAAACGCTGAAAGAATATCCTGAAACTGCTCAAACCTTGTTAGATACTGGCAGACAGTTGTTACAAAAAGACAATTTGTTGGATATGGAACTAGCTCAAAAGGCGATACAAAATGGTATTATATCAAATAGTGATAAAATACTTCATTTAGAAAGCAAGCTTGATGTTGCCCAGACCAATGCGGCGAGATTATTAGGTGAAATAATATCAATATGGAGCAAATTGAAGCAAAGAATCGATGTCTTGAACGACGATTTGTCACAAGTACAAGAGACGCAAGAAATTTTATAAACTCCAATTCAAAACGAGTTAATGAGCGATCTTCATAAAAAATGCATTATAAAATAGTCATACTAAAAAAATCGAACTTTTTTATTTTTTTCTCAATTTTTGATAAACATGAAAAATATATTTCAAGTGAAAAAAAATTAACAAAAATATACCTACGTTTCAAACCATTTTTACTCTGAAAATTTTTTCAGTAATCCAACTTCGAAATAAAAGATCGATGTCACTCAATGGGTGAAACGTTATTTATGTTAAAAATTAGTAAAAGTCGTTGTTTTAACGAAAAATACTGTTTTTGAAAAAAATTGACATTACAGCCCAATAAAAGATGTGAAGTAAAATTCTGATCCCATTACCATAAAATGTTGGCCCCCACAGTGAAAATTAAAACATTTCTGAAACAAATTTGTAAGAAATCCCCCGACCGTCTAATATATTTTTTTGTAAATTAGAAAATTTCCCTCCACCGGTCGTCAAATATTTTTGTTGATAATGTTGGCCCCTCTGTCAAAGTTGTCTAGATCTGCCACTGGTGTCACTTGATGAACTGCTAAGCAGGAAAAACGTTATGAATTTAAAAGATTTTGTGTTTTATATTCTGAAAATATTTTTCAAGATCGTTTTTTAACCAATATGCAATCATCTTCAATGATGAAAATAAAAGCTATAATGTAAATAAAATTACTTACTTTTATTTAGTATGTTTTAAAATATAAAGATATAGTAATTTTACTGACTGATTTTAAGTGTTGTTTAAAATATTTTTTTAATTAGAAGTGATAATGAGGTGAAATTACGATGGAAAGTTGAAAATATTTTCTGGAAGTTGAATATTTTTACGCGGAGTAACAATTTTTGAGGGGCCGGAGTCGTAGTCGGATATTTTTTTTCCAAGTCCAAACAAATGGTATGAATTAAAAATTTTCTTACATTTTATTCAGAACATTTTTTTCATGATTATGTTTTTAGAAGATATTTTTAGCAATATGCAATCACCTTTAATATCGAAAATAAAAACTAATAATTTAAACAAAATCAGTTTTTTCACTCTGTTTTATTAAAAACATAATGATAATGTAATTTTTCAAACAAAGACAATCAATTTGACTGACTTTAAGTGCTTTTAAAAGTAGTTTTTTTTATTTAGAAGTAGTAATAATAATGTAAAATTATGATGGAAAAGTTGGAAATTTTTTCTGTGAGTTGGAACGGGGTCGGAGATTGCTATCTAGAGTAGGAATTTTTCAAGGTGTCGGAAATATTTTTCCTATAACTCCTAAACCCTAGTTGCAACACTTGACATGTAAATTACAGTGGTTGTCGCATTGATAAAACTCCAAATTATTTTTCGCGCTTTTCTCCTGATTATTTAATATCGGCATTTTCCCTGTATATTTAGTATTGGGCGGCGTAATGGCTCAATGGTTAAAGGTGCCTGGTCTTGCTGCTGCAGTGACTGGGTTCCAATACAAAGAGATACATATGCAACCTGTATGATGCGTGGTTTTCACGCGCATTCATATACGCTGTGTGTTTGTAGTTGAAACCCCTGAAGCAAGCGCAAAAGAGAGATTAACCTTTATAACAGTGTAAAAACGACAAAATACTTAGGTTAGATTAATTCAGAGAACGGACCAAAAAGCAATTCAAATACCAGGTCTAATAAGGACTAAAAGGGTTTTAAAATAATACAATTCCAAATTGCCTTTGATGATTCCGTAGTAGTTCTATTACCAAATTAAAATAAGATGAGTCTTAGACTTTTTTGAAATTCATTTAATTTTGCAATAAAAAATTAAGTTAAAAATGAAAACGAGTACATTGATAACAAAACCCAGAAACGTTCGAGAGCTGGTATGAAAGCGGCGATGCAAAGCACAAATTAATAACTTAAAAATACAATATTGATAAAAACATGATATAAGAAATAGCTTAACGAAACGAAAGTCAGTACTGATAGAAAATTTATCGGAAAAAGATAGGGGGGCAAAGGTCTTAGTTACATTAATACTGAAAATGATAGAAATCTATATAGCACAAACATTCAACTGAATCCTACTAATTATAAGTTTTTTTGCTTCAAGTACGAAAAATTAAATCATTCAAAAAATAAAAATAAATGGTGTATAGGTTAATTTAAGAAAAAAGTAAACAGGAAGCCGTATAAATAATTTGAAATGATACATTAAACGCCGAACATGAAACTTTTTAAAATAAGAACTCACAATTAAATAATTTTGAACAATTTGTATAATAAACTTATTGCCTTGATGCTAATGATTCATAATTAACGTGAACATAAAATTATTTCTTCGGTTGAAAGTCGTATGCCTTCTTCAATCTCTTCTTCAGCTCACCTGGGAACTTCTCGTAGCACAACTTGCACACAGGTTTTAAATCCATTTCAAAAAACTTTGTCCTACAAAATTACGTTAAACTGACTGATTGTCTATCATCGTTTAAATAAATAATTGGTCAGTCTTCTCTATAAGAGTTTAAAAAAAACTTCAAAATGAAAAACGTAATGATCTAAAAATTCCAGTTATTTCTGAAATTGTACCACGAAAAAATAAAGAAACATGTATTTCTATATAAAAAATTCTAAACATTATTCAAAATCTTAAAAAATTATTTGTTTCAAAAGATCAAAAAAGTTTTTTCAAACTTTTGGCTCATTTTCTTATCACAAACAGAGCAGGTGAAATGATCAACACACCAGGCTTTCGACAGAGCAGTAAAAACTGGAATAAAATTAATACGTGAATCATAATAAACTATAAGAAGAATGAACCAAAAAAGTTAGACACCAACCGTCGCCGGCGATAACGCAGTTGCAGACGAAACAGATATTTCCGAATAGCTGAGTAAATCATTATTGAAAACAAATTTAAAAGTTGAGGTAGAATTTAAAAATAGAAGAGAGAAGTTACTTGGTGGTAATGAGTTTCACAATAGGCTAAGCCCTTCTTCTCATAATGTCTAGTTCCAAGAAATGGTTTTTCACATTTTGCACAAACAAAATGCTTTATAATTAAAAATTAGATAGTTATTAATTACAAATATATTGAGCCAACTTAACTTTGAAATGAAGGAATTGTTCATTGACATTTGCACTGTTAATTGTTATGAAATAAAAAGTATCGATTAATGGCAAGTACTTCAACATGCCATGACTTTCCCAAAGCATTGACAATTCTTTCCTCAATTGGACGCCTGTTAGAATAACGTTCATCATATTACATTGGCTACACTAGACTGACATCAAACGCCACATACATTCAATACAAAACAATACAATACAACAATAAATTGCTGCTGAAAACAAAAAAAATCAGGAAAGCCGTAAATAACAATAAATAAAACTTTTTGGTATTCTTGGAGCAACATAAAACCGAGAGAAAAAATGTGAAACTAGAAAATAGAGTTGGTGATTTGCTTGATAACGAAGTTCGCGAAACAAATTCAGTTTTTCAAAATGAGGCTATTTGTCGAATGAAATAATGATTCTGCATGAGTTTGCTTGGTAGAACAATAAGTCACAACTCAGTTTTTCCACCATAGTATAGTTATGGACGAATGCGTGCTGATGATGGGAGATGTCTCGCCAGGTCGGTGGCAGATCTAGGGGAAGGAGGCAGTGGCCCCTCCGTTGTGAACAGTATTTTTATAAAAGTCAGAAAAAAGGACCGTTTTAAGTAAAAAATCGACCAAAAATTGGAACTGATTAGCAAAAAAAGTCGTCAGCCACACTACTACAAATCTTGGTCGTCCCATAAAAATTGTAACATTTTCAAAATTTTGGCACCCCCGTCAAAGTTGTCTAGATCCACCACTGAGCCTGTTTATCATAGTAATGGCTTGGCGGGCGCGGATAACAAATCTTACGACGTCATTTGAGGCCTCAAAACAACAGTAATTTAACTCGACTCAGAATAACTGGTAACGGAAATATGTCAGTGGCTAATACTCAGCTGTGAAATATCTAATACCGGTGGATTTGGAGATATAATAAAATCAATAAGAAAGAGTTAAAAACATCTGAAGCACGTTCATTTCATATACAAAAAATGCTTCTGGAGAAATCTCACAAGAAATGTTATATAAATCGCTATATAGTCGTCATCGTCACCATCATAAATGCCGATAGTGAAGTACTGAATAATATGATTGAGGATCAACTTTACAGAGGAAACAAGTCATTAGCGTTAAGAATTGAAGTTTTCAGAAAACAAGATAAGAAGAGGAAATAAGCCCAACTGAAAATTTCACTACTGTTCACTCAGATTGCTATTCCCCAAAGTAATGATGGAGAATGACAAAAAGTTGCAATTTGAAGTCAGTTGATGTGATGGCTTCCATTTGTTGAGAAGCTGAGAGGGCTGTGTGGATAATGTTAGATAAAAGAAAATAAAATGAACATGTCGTGGTGTTTACAATAACAATTAAAGGCAACAAAATTTAAATTGAAATATCACCAATCATCTATTTTCGCATGTTTAGTTAAAATTGATACTCTACACAAAAAAAGTTCCTCTTTTATTATAATTATTACAATAAACATATTTTAACATTAATCTGTAACATTTTACATGATATAAAGAACAAGAAATGAACCAAGCAAATAATCAGAAAAAATTAGAAAATGATCAGAAACCTGCAGGCACCACAAATTGGTATGCCCATCTTATCATGACATCTCAGACAATAAAGTTCATTGTTTATTTCTCGAGCTTCTTCATTGAGTTCAATGCTTCAAAACAGTATGTCAAGTTAGTTGAGTTTTTATATGCTATATATAGAATAAAAAGAGCAGAATGAATGAACCTGCAGCTGTGACAGTTGAAATGATATGGATGATATGACTCTCCTCTAAATTTTATGTGTTTCTCTTCTATTATCGAACTGTTTGTTTCGTTTATTTTGTTTGTTTAAATACAATTAACTGACACATCTAAAAATAATTAGGGAAAATAAAATAAAAATTACTGGCACTTATGGCAAACAAACTTTCCTGTACCAAGAACCTTTTCTTTATTGTTGCATTCTCTGCATAATGGTCTATTAAAAAAAAATATTCGTAAAAACAGTTCATAGTGCATACAAACAGTCTTTAGAGAGCTTAACCTTTTACCATTTTTAACAAATCCAGTATCAGCAAGGGGCACTGAACATATTTGGCAGACAAAACAATTTGGGTGCCAGTTGAGATTCATTGCTTTTATTACTCGACCAATAATAAAATTTTCTGTTGGTTTAATTATCTAGTTAATAAACAATTGCAAAAATTGGACCAAACAATAACTTACCGCAAGAACCACAACATGGCGCAAAGAGAATATTGAAATCGTGTTCACAATATTTTCGCCCTTCAAACTAAATAAGAAAAAAAAATGAAATTAATTAAAATAGGCAATGAAATTTTTGATTTAGAAATTAAAATTTATATGTAATAAAAGACAAGCATTAACCAACCTCAAAAAATATGCCATCAGGAAATTGCTGGAAACATTGTGCACAACTTGAACCAATCATTTGAATAAATATTAATTATTATCACTTTTACATGAAAAATAAGTTTTTAAAACCAATTAGGTAAGTTGTAAAATGGTGCAATAACCAAATGATAAAAAAAATTAAAACAATGAAAGACCTACACAAAACATTTTTTATGCCAAATTTGACCGTTAGAATTCACAATCTCTTCTTCTTTGTCAAAGTCTTCATGGCATCTGGCACACACTCTTAGAGACATATTCTTTGGTTTCTTTTAATTTTGTTTAATCTTTATGAAGCAGATTTCTGAATAAAAATTATTCTTTATAAATAATGTTTAATTGTTTTGTTCAAGACTGGATATTATGTATATTTATTTTCATGATGATACAATGATTTTTTAATAGTTAATTCCACAATTATTAAATAACTAATATAATTAAAAAATTAATTTTTCTTGTTTCTTATAAGAATTACGAAATGATAAAATGACAAATTCTAAATCTAAATAATGTATGTATATATATATATATATATATATATATATATATATATATATGTTGGCAATAGACCATAATTTTTACAATATTCTATAAATTCTACCGAATGTTTGGCGTTAATATTAACGCGAAACATTCGGTAGAATTTATAGAATATTGTAAAAATATATATATATATATATATATATGATATGTAACATATATCTTATTCTTATAAGTACAAAATGATAAAATGAAAAATTTTCTAAATATAATATATTTATATGTCATGACAAATGTCAAATATTTATCATTTTATTGTCACATCTATTTATTTTATTATTATAATTATATGGATCAGTAGATCATCATGATTACAAGTCAACTATCTTTATTGAAATTATTGGAATTGGCTTACTTAATTTTTAATTAAATATTAAAAATAAATTAAACTAAAAAACAAATGAATGGTAATCATATTATTATTAGTTAATTAATTTTATTAAATTTAATGAAAATTAATTTAAAATAATAAACTTGAAAAAACAACTTACTTATTTTTATTTTTTAACACCTTTTAAATTAAACTAAAGGCTAGAGGTTTAATTTTCGTTAGTAAGTTGTTCTTGTTAGGTGTCACTACTAAAGCAAGCTTGGAAATAGAAGTTAGTGATTAATATTTCATCTTCCACATATTTATATCTGATTCTTTTGATCTGATAAATAATTTTATTTTCAACGAAGTTTTTATAATATTTTTATTTTAGTTTTTTAAATATTTATATTTTTTTAAATTTTAATAGGAAATTTTGTTAAATTTAGTTTGGTAGTCATCAGTTTTTAACTTTTTTTATAGTTATAGTTAAGAATGATTTACTTTACTAGACTAAATTAGATTAGATATAGTTGGCAGCTTTTCTTTACTTTTTTTTTAAATTCAATATTTATTTTTGTTCCAATCCTAAAATTGAATTGCTAGAAAAATTGCGATCTGCCAGTTAAAAGACCAGAAAAATTATCAAACATTTAAACCTCAAAACGAATAAACCATATTACAAATAAACACTTCAGTATTCAAAATCAAACTTAATTAAATTAAGAAAAGAATATGTCCAAAAGAAAAAAGTACCACAGTACGACAGTGCGGCTTCCCACGTTCCATTCAAAGTGAACATAAACATTTATGGTACTCTTATATCATATGTATGTATGTATGTATGTATGTATATATATATATATATATATATACATATAAATATATATATATATATATTTTGGTAATAGACCATAAATTTTACATTATTCTATAAATTCTACCGAATGTTAGGCGTTAATAAAAACTAACTACAAACATATTAACGCCAAACATTCGGTAAAATTTATAAAATATTTATAAAAATATATATATATTTATATTTATTTATTTATTTAACTCGTACACAAATTAGTGGGCATGTTTAAAACGGAAAAGCTTTTTTCGAAATTTTAATGGAAATGCACTCAAAACACTTCGTTCGCAACATGATCTCATACTCATACAGAATCACTCATGATCTCAAGCATCAATTATACTTCAAATATCCTTCCTGTTTCGGCATCAGTACACACACAGCAATAACTTCAACAATTACAAATTACCCTCATCACAAAAGCAAACAAGTTACAAATATAATTTTTCAGTTGGTGTAATCATATCATGGAAATAGTTTCTGACTGGTTGCAGCTTTATTTAATGTAAAAATCGCTGGCTAATACTTTATCGTGCACCAGATTCTACAGTAATTCTCTCTTATTCTTCAGAAGTATCAACACCACACACAGCGCAACGAAATTCGGGTTACGTTAAAAGATTAATTTTTGAGGAAATAAGTAAAAGATAATTTTTACGAAATAGTGTTAGGCATTATCGGCAATATGAAATACTTCCAATTCATTTGGACATGCATTAAAATAAGATCAAGCTTTTTCTTTTTTTTTCAAATTCTCAGCTTTCTAATTAAAACTAAAACTTTTATGGAATAGGCATTTCGGCTGTATTATACAAACAAATTACTATATTATAATAATGCCTGTAAGCCTAACTCACGTAAGAAGATTTTTCATTTATTAGTCCATGAAACTTTTTCGCTTAAGGTTTTTAGATATCCGAGCCTGTTAATTTGGTTTCGCTGATCATAAATTCAACAAGACAACAAGATATTTAAGATAGAAAAATTATGAAATAATTTTTATTTAATAAATTAACAAACTCTAGATATTTAATTGGTGACAATTTGTCTTCTCGATAAAATGTTGTTACGGTAAATAATAACAATGAAAATAATTATAACAATTTTAGTAGTAATACACATTGAAATAAGCTCTGTACAAAGCTGGCAGCGTATAAAATGATTGAAGACCCTATATTGTTAACTCTTTACTCACCCGGCGACAATTAATAATTTTATATATAATGTAAAGGCGATTTTTATTTAAAAAGACATGACAAAACATTGACTGCTGACTGGTAAAAATGCACATGGGTAGAAATACAGATGGAAATAACAACACATTCAACATAGTACATTTACATTTCAACAACATAAAGTAGGACAGAATCTTCATACATTACAATTTCACGATAATTAAAAAGTTTTTTGAAAAATTTAGCGATATTTTTTCGTCTTATTAATAACATTAATAAGAAATTAAATGTTATTAAGCAAATCAAACGCGAGTATTGTATAATTTCATGAATAAGTTTCATCCATTATGCTGCTATCTTCAAAGTAACTTAACTACATGATAAATCTAGAGGAAAGAGCCTTACGTGTGTCTGAAACCCACAAATGAGTAATGATTATCTAGCTTACTTGAAATGAAAATTTAAAAAAGCGTAAACAAACGTCTATTTAACAAATGTTCTGTGAGTTATTATTTGAATTGCAGTTTAAAATGTTGAAAAAATGTGATCATGATGCACAACTTTCACCTTGCACACCTGCTAAAATCTCCATTGTTAAACGTGTTTTTGGATTCATTTGAGTTGTTCAGTAGTGGTATAGAGCCTGAATGAAATATATTTTATATTTTTTTTACATTAAATTGAAATTTATTGTCTTTCAATAAATTTATTCAATTACAAAGGTTTAATAAATATATTGAAATGAACTGGAAGTTATTTGGAGTCACATTTCATAAAATCTTTCATAGAACTCAAAGTAAATTTAAATTTAAAAAACTCGGTTTAAAACCAAATATAAGTGCAATTTTATTTTATTCTTAGCTCAAATATTTAACAGATACATTAATAAATAAATGAGAGAGAAAATGATCCACAAACTTCCGTGAGTCAGTTTGTTGACGTTGCCATCGAGCAGGTTGAAGTTAGTTGAGCTGTTGTTGAAATCGATCATTTTTTGAGAATTTGAATGATTACGCATGAGCATTTGTTGACGCAGCTGTTGCTGCTGTTGTTGCAGGTGTTGTTGAGATGAATTAATTGGTTGCTGTGATGTCAGACCTGCCTGCATTTTTGTGCGTTTTTTCCTTTCAGATTTTGGATGATGTTTGTGAGGTATGGAGCTGTAGTTGCTGTCAGTGCTGTAAGGACTGGAGCAGCGAGCTCGTTGTCGATGTTTTGACGATTTGCGAACTTTAAAGAATAAAAAATTGATTTGTTTCGATTAACAGCATAATTCTTTTACTCACAACAAACAACACTTTTTCACGGTGATGCTGTTTTATTTTTAAACAATAACCTCATTATATGGTAAAATAAAACCGTACTGCGCTATACAGCGTTCATAAGAGCGACCCACCTTTCTCTTTGCCAGTGTTTGGATCGATAACGGTCGACCCAACCACCATCAAGCCGGACATTTTAGCAGCTCTGGCCACCGCCTTCGCGAAATCTTTCTCAGTGAGGCAGTTGTTGTCGTCACTGCTACTCACACTGGAGCTTTCATCCTCACCAGCCATGTCATCATTTCTCCACTGATCTCCTCCTTCAATTACTGCAACTGGTTCTGAAAAACCATGCAATTTCACATAATAAACATTTGCAATTTTAAAACGCAGAAATTGTAACTTAATCTTTAACGAACGGAACATAATTTGCAAATGAAAAAAATATAACTCAAAAAATGACAAATGATAATCGCAAAAAATGTCTGACCTTGACCGATCATGTTGTCGATGTCACTGTGTGAAGGCGACTGAGCCAGCTGTGAGAGGTTCATGTCAGCATCCGACTCGTCAACATCATAATCGGTATCCAAGATGGCTACCTCAGAGATTGGGGAGTCAGGAGATGTGGGGTGGGATGTTCGAAGATTGTTCTTCATCGCTGGCATAAGTCTTCAGTGTTCGTTTAATAATAATTTACCGATGACAGCTTTGCAAGCACATTAAAATGAATATAAAACTGAATACAGTGAAGACATATTTTTATTAAAAATAGGCGATGAAATGAGAGAGAGAAAATAAAGTAGTTGAACATCAACAAACCTGGCATTTAAAGAATAATTTTGGTTCAGTTGTTGAGAGTAATTGCTCTTGTTGCGTTGATGAAATGGTTGTTGATGCTGCTCAAACGCTCTCTCGCTCGATACGTGGTGAATGTTGTTGTTGCTGATGTTGTTGTTGTTGTTTTGTAGTGGTCTGCTTGTGGATGCAAAGTTGCTTGTATTCTTTGGCGATGGTGGTTTGTTGATAGAGTAGTTCAATGTGTGCATGCCTCTTTTCAACGAACCAACAATGTTGCTGCCTAGGATGATGTTGTTGTTGTTGATGTTGTTGTTATTGTAGTTGTTATTCATGGGTTCGACATCAGAATGCATAGCAACATGATGTGGCGGTGGCAAGAGTGGTAGCTGCTGACTGGCCAGCCATCGAGGGGCGTTCGGAGGGGATTGCGATGCGTTCGTGGAGTTATAAGTTGGTGGGGGATGCTCGGGTGGGGGTGGGATGAAAAGAGTCGGATGTTCGCCGAAGAGATCTGTTTGTTAATATTTTTAAAATATCATCTCAGCTGTTTCACTTCATACAATTTTATTCGATAGTTAACAATGAATGTGCACTTTTGCAAACGTTTATATGGTGTGTACTTTGTTTGAAGAACTTTTTACAATCATAAGTTGATCATTTTCGGTATTAATTTTCGTGCTTTTAAAAACGGTTTTCTAAATTTTAAAATAAAAATTATTGTTGAGATCAAAAAACGTATCTAACTAATTTCGTTGGGTAGGTTGAAGTCAATTCTTTCATATTGCTGGCCGTCCTCCGCAGCGTGATCATCATAATCTGCTGGTTAGTTGGCGGCCGAACATTATTTTTGCCCATTAACTCAGCTAACATATCACATTCTCGTGATTTATATTGATTTCTTGTTAGAACTACGCTCAGTTAATTCATCAAACGTTTTGTGTGAAAAACCAAAAACAGAAAAATGATATGACGATTAATATATCAATTAATTTGGTGAAATATTTTATACATATTGGGAATGCATATGGAATTGAGTTAATAATTGAAGGTACTTTGAAGATGATTGCTATCGATGTTGGATTCACTGGTGGATATGTTCTGCTTGATGCCGCTGTCCGTTGATTCGCTCTTCGGCTGGATCATGTACTGTTGTTGGATGATGCACGGTATGATGTCTGAGCTGTTGTAAGGGTTGGTGGTCTTGTTGAAGTTCTTCATCGATCCCGGAGACTGTAGGTTGTTGTTGTTGTTGTTGCTGTTGCTGCTGTTGTTGTTGACGGTGGCGTTGATGAAGTTGGCGTTCTGTTTGGATAACGTTGGATAGTTGGTTGACGTTGTCGTGACGTATCCATTCACTTTCCCGGCATTGCTGTTGGGGATTTGCATTCAATCCCTTTCACATTTCAAACTTTAAACGACTTTTAGGCTAAATTCATTGAAAAAAATAGCATAAGCGTATATAAATACAAGAAAACGTATTGAAACATTTTAAATTGAATATAACATCAGCGTACATATGTCATTCTGAAATTAGGAAAAACAAATTTTTTTCTGATTTTCAAAAGTGGGGATACAAAATCAGTAAAACCATTTTATGCTTATCAGAGAAGGAAGCCAAACACCGAGACTTACATTGAATTGTCGACCATATATGAATTTGGCAAACCTGTAAAGTTCATTTCGTGTTGATGAGTTAATTTTCAGTTTTTCAAATTTATAATTTTCACCGTCATCAACATTCATCATCCACCTCAATCATTCAACGAATATAAAACCATCCAATATATATTAAACATCCACATTACACCAACTCTCGTCATAAGATTTACACAAATTCAAAACAAATTTTCAATCAGCATCTAACAATTTTTGTGAAGTTTGATGCCTTTGCTTCTCTTCCTGCACAGCCAGACACTGAAGACGCAGAGAACGGTCCAGAGCAGACCTCCAATCAAGAGGATCAACATAGCGATGAACCAAGGTTGTTTCAGAAGGTGTGGGTCAGGTGAGGATGTGAGTAAAGGTCCTGTCAGGTGGAGTTATCACTTTATCCTCATCCGTTAATTCGTCAACTCACAAAACCAGAATAACAAATCAAATGAAAAGTCGTTTGGGCTAAAAATAGTTGCTCCCATGACGTTTTCAAGTATTAAAAATGTTAATAAATTTTACTGTCATAATTGAAAATTCTTTAAACAAGTTAAAATATTCTTCTATTATTACCCTGCTATTTCAGCAAACGAGCAGACCAGCACAACACATTCGAACGCAGCAACACATTACGAAGGAACTTAGCAACACAACCCAACACAACATGGTACCAGCCAACAAACTCACCGATGACAATCGGATCACTGCGGAACCCATCGCCAGCACGATTGTAAGCACACATTTGTATTTTGTACGTCATGTCCTGGATCATGTTCTGTATGCGAAGTTCCCGCATTGAAGAGTTTATCTGGATCTCTCGGTCGAACTTGCTGTTGTTGCCAAATATGAAGATCTGGAATTAAAAAAAAAACACAATATTATCATAAGGTTTAAACGACTTCGCCGTATATTAAATTGATGTTACGTTATACGCAGTCATAAATTTCAGCGAACCGTCACGACAAACTAGCGACATATCCGACATGCTTAAGATATAATAAGCAGTACAGAATGATGTCATCAAATACATCGTACCAGTGAAAATGATTATAAGTTAAATTCACCGTAAGTCATATTTATCATTTATAGTAATTAAGTTTAAAAAACATTTATAAGTATTTCGTCATAACAAGTAATGATTTATTGCGGAATCTTCGGTATAATCTTATACTACGTTTATAGAAAGAAACATGCCCCAGGCAGAGGCATACCGCAACATTGGTTTGCATGATAAATGACATGCATGCTTGAAGAGAAATAGATTATAAGATGAGTTATTGCACGACCTTGTAGCCCCTGAGAAATCCGTTGTGATGTTGCTTCGGCGGTGGCTCCCACGATATGCTGAGGGTGTTGTTCTTCGTCATCCGCGCCTCGATGTGCTGTGGAGATGCCGAAGGCACTGTTTATATGTTCACACATGTTTGTATTTGTTTTAATGTTTGTACTTGTTTGTATGTTTGTTTGTTTGAATATTTGTATTTGTTAAAATTGTTTGAATGTTTGTATTAGCTTGCACGTTTGTACCTGTTTGTGTGTATTCGCGTTTGTATACGTTTGCAAGTTTTGACAAATGTGTTTAAGTGATATGCTTCTATAAGTTTAAATGTTTTTGTCTACAATAATAAATTTATATATGTTTATTTGTGCGAAAGTTTTTGTTATTTCTTTACAATATAATTGCGGTAAAATATCATCAAATTGTTGGCCGTTGCCCGCATACTTCGCATTTGCTACGATTACGTTGTTTACTTACTACAATTATGTTGTTTGAGCCAGATAGATCGAAAAAATCGTCAAAGTTTTTAAACAGAATGTTTCAACAATGAACAAGAATTGTAAATATTTTTGTAACGGAATCATTTTAATTGAAAGCGGTATGTAACATATATTTAACGATATAACATATATATAACGATATATAAAAATATTAAATAAAAGATATTACCAAATTTTGAATGTTATATGCAAAAACCAGAGCATTGGAAAATTGTTTTTGTTAAATGACAAAATACTTAGCAAAAAATAAAATAATAAAAAGCAATATTTTATTAAATAAAACTTGGTCTGATCAATGGGTGCTCATTCGAGTCTCAATGTTTTGTGTATGCGCCATACCATTATAGCGTATGAAATATACAAATTTATTCCTGTTTTAATTCCTCGTGTCATTTTAATTCCTCATAACATGCCTACTTCAGTTACACTGACAAAACAAAATAGAGAAGAACGAACCATCTTCAAGAGTCTTCACTTGCACCTTGTTGCTTTCCATGCCCACGATATCCATGTAGTAGGGCTGAACATCCATCTCAAACCAGGTGTTCTTCTCTAAATTGTACAGGGTGTACGACGTAACGGAGGAGCTTTGAACTGTTACGATGGTCCAGTTTTTGGGCTCCTCTGGCAGGTCAGTGCCTCTGTCGTTGAAGTTGCTGTGGTATCCTAGTGAACGCATTATAAATCTAATTCAATTTAATCAATTTTTTTGATAAGCCGTTAAAACAAAAAGGAAACAAACAAGTTAATTAAGGGAAAGTAATGAATTGTTAATTTTGGATCTGCACTTTTCAACAAACGTATTCAATAATCAAATCAACATTTGTGATTGAAAATGAATTGCTACCCCTTGGATAAAAGTGATCGTCGACATCAGACAGGCAGCGGTATCTGATATGAAAGCCTTCAACGTACCGATGGTTCTTTCTGACCTCCCACGTCAACACAACAGTTGTTGAACCTGTAGCCTCCGCTGGAAACAGGAAAACAAAACTTTTGTTGGAAATCTTTTCAGCCACTAAACTTCGGTTGAGAGCAGACATATTTGGTCGAGCTTGTGACGGGTTGTGTCCTGTTCGGAAAAATGGATATGGTTTCTTTTATATTATCAACAACATTTCCTAAGCAGAAATTAATGGCATTAAACAGAAATTAACATCAATTTACTCATAACATGACCAGTAAGCATGTAGAAGTTGATGGTGTCAATTATGTTTCAATTGTTATTGTTGCTATTCATTTAAGACTGAAATATATGCAAGTTTGAAAAAATTTCGCAGTGAACACTTGACATTATTTACCGGAAAATTAAATATTTTTTTTAATTTTCGTAAAATTTTTGATGGGTTCGACAACATTATTAGAAATAAATTTACAAATAAACAAATAACGAAAATTCAGAGGAAGCGATTATTATTTGTGAGGAAAGTATAGCAGACCTCCTTTTGTTCGCACGTGATCGCTGACTGGACTGGGGAGGCTGAGGCCATGCGAGTTCTGCGCCCTAACGAGGAAGGTGTAGTAAGTGTCCGGTTTCAGATTTCTTACAATGTACGTCTGCTCTGTTACCTTATTTGACGCTTCCATCCATCCCTGATATTTTTATGGCAGTATATTTGTTAATAACTTGTTCCCACGAAACCAATCACAGAAGTAAGTTTTTAATGTTTGGAAAAATAATTGTTTAACAATATTGATGAAACTATTTTCAAAATATGTAAAAAATAGAAAATAAGAAGAGATTTATTGTAAAATTATTTATTTAAGTTGCCAGAAAGACTGAGCATTGAACCTGTCCAGATTCTAAGCTGGAGTATTCAACAGTGTAAGCAAAAACGGCAGATGATCCTGAGTTTTGGTTGTTTCGCCACATCAGACGAACACTCGTATCGGTGACGTCAGCGATGGTGGGTTTCGAAGGGGGGCCAGGAAATGTAGAAGGTTCAGGGGTCCGATAAAAAACGACGGATGGGTTCGTGTGGGCCTCCACTTGGATGTAACAGGTACGAGATGTTTCACCAATTTTACTGAAGGCTTTGCAAGTATATTTACCTGAATCACTCTTGCGCAGGTCTGCAAATGATAGACGTTACCAGTGCATTGAATTATTTCGTGAATATTGGTTTGAGAAATTGGATCACATCTACAATCAAAGATGGTGGGTATTCATTATTAATTTTTTAAATGACTTTCTGATGAAAAAAATGGAAAAGTGAATTTGCGAACCTACGAATTTAAATTTAAATAAAATTAAAAAAAAACAATTAAATTTATAAAAATGTTGATAAATTATTTTCTTTTTGCCAATTTTACATAAATTTAAATATCTGACACCAATAGGCTATCGAGCAAAAATATACAATCTACTCACAGTAAAAAATATACACAGATTGCACAAATAATAAAATTTAAGTAGGACACGCTAATTTTAAATTTTCTAACTGCTTTGCTAGCAAATAATTTTCGTCATTTGTTAAAAAGGGCAACAATCAATAGAAAAATTAAAAAATATCAACTTTTAATTTTTAGATTTCCTGAGTCATCAATGGAGTACTTGTCATCTTTTTTGTTGAGGACCTTGTTGTTTCTGAGCCAAACAATGGAGGGTGTAGGGTCTCCACTGGCTGAGCAGAGCAGAGTGGCTTCCGTGTTGGCGGCCAACGTCTGGTTCTGCGGGGAGAGCTTGATGATCGGAGGATGCATCTTGTCATCAGAATCTGAGCGAGATATTTATTCGTGAAAACTTGTTACCCAAGAACCAATAGGACAGTGAACTTGAATGACATTCTTAGAAAAAAATTGTTGTAAAACTACTATTAGAAATTTGCTTAAAGTATCACGTTGAAAAGTAAAATTGAAAAGCATATGTCTTTAGTTTGTGGAAGGAAGTATGTGTTAAAAATGGTCATAGACCCACCTTTAACTTCCAGTTTTGCTTTATAGTAAGCCTGACCAGCATCGTTGACTCCCTTGCAAAGGTACTGACCAGCATCTGATTTTTTAACGTTATCGATCATGAGGGTGCCGTCGTCAGTCACAGACAGGCGGTCGTAATCTTTCTTCGGAAACATCAGCGTCTGCGTGGAGGTTTTGTGCAACGTGTGAACGTGTGTGGTCAAGCTCAGTATCGTCTACATTGGTTCATTCGAGGATAGCGTTCGTAATAATTAAGTAAAGATAAGTTATATTGCTATTATTAATTAAAGGACGATGTTTGAGGCCTTGTGAAAAAATGTCAACAATATATCTGCAAAAAATTTATTATTTCAATTTAAATCGGTAATTAGTAAAAAAAATTTTTTTTTAAATGTAAAACATTTTGTAAACCGCACTAAATGAGCAACAATTGATGGATGAAAGAAAAAAAAATACATCAGTATATCAATCAAGCGCCATATAAGTTAATGAGTGCAAAAAAACTTTGGAAGCATCATTGAAACATTCGTCATCGGAATAAAAACCTTTTTTTTAAAATGTTATTTATGAGCCGTTTAAGAGGATTTTTATAACGCATAAAATTGCTTTTGCATGCTTTTGTATATGCGTAAATCTCAGTGTAAACTTTGAAATTAAAAAAAATGTTTTAAGATAAATCTTCCAACATCTTCCTACATTTGGCACTTTTAAACCGAAGCGACAAACTGACACTGACAGATTCACACTCAATGAAAATCATCCATCCCTCGCTCGCTTCGCGTCACAAAACTGATGCAACATGCGAGCTAGCCACAGTTCAGTTGTTGAAAAAATTGAATTTTACGTGCATTGATTGATGGTTGCTGATTCGCGATTGCTGCTATCAATCTGGCACCCATCCATCCAAAAAAATTCTTGCAAGAAAGTGAAAAAATTAAGGCTCAATTATTCCAAGACAGATAAGCAATTTGATTCGCAAACATTCTGCTCTTGTATTTTTATTTTAAAAAATTCTCTCTGTTCATTCATTCACTTATTCAATCATTTATTTATTCCTTTATTCGTTCTTTCTCTTTGTTTTATTTATGTTCAATCAAATCCATTAATGCACACATGACAAGCGCACCATGTAACCTGAAACGTAATATAACAGAAACTCAACATACAGATGTGTAAAGAGACGAGATGTGATGTGTGTAAAATGACAAACGTAATACTACAAATGGAACGTGTAAAATAACAGGATGCAACATTTCACACAAAGTTAGAAATGTAACGCATTAGAGTTGCAACGTTACGAAAATGAGGATAAGTAGATCCACCACACTACCGTCCTCCCAACCTGGCAATTTAATTAAATTTTCCCATGCAGAATGCAGATCAGATGTTTTTAAATGATCTTTTCCAGTTCGTCGGGTTTAATTACCAAAAAGCAATTTCAAGTTCTGCCTGAAATAACATTAGCAGATATGCAAGCATCAACCAGCAAAGTAATATGTACCTACGTACAACACGCACTTGGAGTTTGGATAAATATTTTGTTACGAGATGCATATACTCTTTTAAGTTTAATAAAAGTTAATCGCATAATAATTGAGAAAAAGATTTTGTAGCATAAATTCCGCAGTGCACAACTGTTCCCCTTGTTTCAATCATTCACTCTCAGATCAAGTTACTATTTTCAGCTTGAAAAATACATTACAAAAAATTCGCGGTGAAAATATGAAAATCGTGTGTATTAAACGTTGTACCAAGGCATTTGTTGAGGCACGGTATTTGTTGAAACATGGTATTCATTAAAAATATGGTATATCTTATAAGTTAGAAATTAAAATATTTTTATTATATGTTAAATTACATTAGAAAATATTGTCCACTGTGCTGTTAAATGATGGTACACGATGATGATGATGATGATGATGTCATCGATAATAATAATAATAATAATAATAACACGGTAAAAGTTGCAATAAATAACAAATTTTAAAAAATTGAAAAAAAGAAAAAACTTTAAATAAAAAATGACTAATATTAGCATTTAAAAATTATCTGACGGGAAGAACATTGGAGGTTAGTTGTGCAGCTTCAGTAGATTTGATGCGATCCTTTTTATTCAATTTGATAATGAGTTTTAAGATAGAGAAACCTTCTTTTATCAAAAAATTAGTTTTAATATTGATAGAGTAACACAAAGAAAAAAAAAAACTAAAATATTACGAATGAATCAGAAAATCACTCAGGATTATTAGTGCAGTAATTCACTTAACCTCGCGGCATAGCATGTCAAAACAAATATATATCGATGGCAGACCAAATAGTTTCTTTTAAAATATTACAAACCACTGCAAGCAATTCCTTGGCATGCAACTCATGCACGTTTGTTGTTTGTGCGTGTGTGTGTGTGTGCGTGTGTGTGTGTGTGTATGTGTGCGTGTAGTGTTGTGAGTGATACAACTTCTGTCTGCATGTTCTACATGCCAATACAACATGTATAATATTGAAACACGCATTTAAGATAATGTGGTTCTAAGCAGAAAGGCTTCATTGCTCTCCACACACATCTGTTGTTGACAGTCTAAACTGATAACTAATATTTTTGGATTGTTAGTCAACAAATTAAATTTGTCCATGTGATCAACCACCATAATTTGGCAAAAATGAACCACACAACCACCAAATAACTTCGTGTCTGCCAGCAACACAATTCATCTTCTTTGATTTTGTGCTGGCAGTCCAACAGTAAATAGAAACAGGTTCACACTGAGAAAGTAGCAAGTTAATTAGTTGCTTCTTTCTTATCTTTACATGTTATTGTTCAAATTTGTAGACTATAATTTTTAGCAGAAAATTGTGTGCAGATTGTGTGCCAAATATTTCGATAATCTGTACTCGACAGTTTGAGGTCAAAGAGACTGCAAATTGAAGCCATAATTTCATAACAACATGAATGAAAAACAATACAAACATTTTGTCCTATAAATTAACTGTTTCTAATTAGAAATCTACCTATCCAATTTTACTGCAGTATTAAAAAAACAAAATGAACTTAGCTAAGTATGAATATTTTGCTTTAAAAATTCCAATCGTCGTTTACCTGAGAATGTTTATAATTAATTCAAAATGCAAGAAAATTTTACTAAGAATCGGACGTGACATGAAATGATAGAAATGATGGAGGAGGAGGAAACGAACTTGTGAGTTTTCCTTGAGCCAGAAAACAGCAGGTGTGGGGTTGCCCGTCACAGAACACCGGAAGTTCACTCGCGATCCTGCAAGCACCGTCTTGTCACGTGGTGTTATGATGAACTGCGGAGGGACTGTCGGTGAAAGTTATTTTCATAATGTTATCATCCTTTAATTTGACGTTATTTTTATTATTTCAGCAGTTTTAATATTATTTCTCATGTTGTCATCGTTGTCGTCGTTGGTTCGAAAGTAGAAAATTTTTAAGGATGAGCACTAAGATAGAACTTTACGTTTTATATAAATCTAAATGCTTAAACAAATATATAAATAAATGATTGTTTCTGTGCGTGTATGTGTGTTTGCGAGCGGATGTGATTTCAAGCTGAAACGGTGCTCCCTTTATTTAGTTTGTTTCAATGCATTCAACCAACTCAGGATAGGATTGTAGATAGAAAATTTTAAAAACGAACTTCGCCCGTTGAGGCATTATTTCGTTGAGGTAGTCAATGCATGCTAAACTCTTGATTGATGTTGAATGAAGTCAGTTACTTATTTGTGGAGGGATTGAGTTGAGTATGTTGTTTGTTGTTTGAGAGATAGCAAATAATAAAATCGCTAACGAGCAAGATATCGCAAATTGTGTCTTTTTTAGAATATACTTGCTAATCACTGAACAGCATCAATTGTTGGAAATAAAAAGCACGCAATGCTGAAACAAAGTTTCAGAAAGAAAAAAATTGATCGTTATAATTTTATTAATATGAAAATAATGCGCTCCTAATCCTCTAACATGTCTTCCTGCTACTCCATGGACTTCCGCCATATCAACTCAAAGAATAATAACTTTTTTAAACTTAAGGAACAGGCACATCTATGTTGTTGCTGATCGAAAATAATTCGTTATAAATAATTTTATGAACAACATCAGTAATCAAATTAATAGGAAGTCATCATTTTTAGTGTATTCAAGATTATATCATTTTTATATCAAGATTATATTTGCGAAGGCTTACTTAGCAACACATGAAATAAAAACTGCCAACAAAATATCTTGCCATGTTGCTAATTTAAAACCTGTTTACAAAAAATATCTTTTTACTCAATTCGAACAAATTAAATTCTGTTGAAAATTTTAAAATTCATTCTGACAAAATTCTGTCAATCAGAATTTAAAATCATCGAATCAAGTTAAAAAGAATGAAATTTTACTTCCAACGCCAGTTAATTATCTCAACTGCAAATGCATCTCAGCAACAACTTCTCATACTTCAAGGACATGCACGCACAAAATAAGCAAATGTATGTTACTCCTGGCTAGGATGATAACGATGACGACGATGATACGTTGACATCAATTATGATGAAAATGATAATATGAAAAACATGACGATGATATGAAATAAAAGAAGATGATGTGAATGAAGAAGACTATAATGATGACACAGATGATGATGAAATATTGGAAATAATGATGAGGTTTGAGGTGATGGAGAAATTGATGGTGACAATGACGATGATGGTGATGATGATGACGACGACGATGACGATGATAATAAAATACAATAAACACAATGGAGAAATTACAAAAATGATGATGAGGAGGAGGAGGTTGTTGACGATGTAGTTGGAGATTATGGAACGTGATGAAAGTGCTGGTTTGAATGATGATGGTGGTGATGCATCATGTGTTGGTATATGTTGAAAAGAATGATTACATGAACATCAACAGTTCTGCAAGAGTTTCTCGGTTTGCAGAGATTTTTAAATCGCACATTCACAAAGAAGTGAATACGTGAATGTTAGTAAACTATGCTCCGAAAACAACAAGCCTAGTTTTTTTTATCTTCTTCAATAAAACTATTCCTTGTATCATAGAAGTTTTCAATATTGTTTAATAGACATACACTATACAACACTCTTATAAATATTGTTAACAATGATAAAACTTGGTATTAAATTTTCATCATGTAACTGGAACAATGTAATGTGGCTGTGATAAAAAATATGGCATAAATAACTTCAATAACTTTTGATATTTTGCTTAAACATTGCAGAATAAAGAACATTGCCGAACCACGCAAATCAAGTTATGAATGCAGGATCATGAAAAATAGCAATAAATAAATGTGCACGTATAATCCTAGTTTGAAAATAACATCAGTTAGTTGCTGTTTTTAAAAAAAAACTAGTTTTTCAAGAAAATATTTGAAAATATCAAAATTATGAAAATATATAAAAAAGCCAAAATATATGAAAAGAGTTTATAACAAATTAAGCAATTGGTGTCAACTATGTAAAAAGTTATTAAAACCTAAAAAATAATTAAAACATTTCTGAAAATAATTAATCTCACTAAACAAATATTCAATCATTCACCTCAACATCCAACATTCACCTCAACATTCAATCATTCATCTTGACATTCAATCATCACCTCAACATTCAATCCTCACCTCAACATTCAATCCTCACCTCAACATTCAATCATTCATCTCAACATTCAATCATTCATCCAACAAAAACGCATTCAACTTTCAACGTCACACCAATGAGACAAATAAAAAACTCAACAAATCAATCATAAAAAACATTTTTTAATTTGTCACACAGCCAAATGTATGACAATGTTCTTAATTTATTGCTCATCCTTCCAGCTTTTCCATCACCTCAAAATAGACCTTCCATGTCGCCAGAGATTGGTTGGTGGGTACATGTTACAATATATCTTCATTAAATATATACACTTTTCGTTTGTACGCTATTTGAACATTTTAAACCTTAATTAATCTAATGATCAATGTCCCCAATTAATCTAAAAAAAAAACTTATTCTAAAAAATGTAGCCATTAATAACTTTTCATTTTTTGTTGCTTTTGTCATGATAACAAAGTTATCGTTAAAAGGCCTGCTCAACAGAGTTCTTGTCAACAAGTTGTTATTTTTATCATCTGATTAGTTTTATGTGATGTTTAAGAATATGATGTTTGTAGAACTGAACGAACAAGTAGTCAAACGATTCAAATGTTGTTCAGTGACAAATGATCATCTAATCGGAATGAACGAAACATAATGACCCCAAATCAACCTGCAGTGCACATGTAATTGTGCGCTACATAATGATACTTTTCAATAGTTATTTATAAACGTCACACTAGTTGTTCACATCGTTACGAATTTAAATGCAGTCTGCCCGCGAATAACAGCCATTCACGACATTCACATTTTCAACTTCTGGTGAATGTTTGTTATGAATACCTAAAATTATAATAATTAGGTTTCACGGGGATGTTTGTTACAAAGAATCGTGAATAGGATGCTGATGCTAATGCAGCCTGTAGCGGATGCAGTTGTCTTCTCAATAATTATCATCTACACTTCTGGATAATGGCAACTGTAACAGCGAAGGCTAGCACAAACGTTAAAAAATTATCTTGCAATTATTATTAAGTTGATTGTTAAGTTAGTGTCGTGCTGATGATGACGATGACGTTGATGACGACGAGGTAGAGAAGTAGGATGACGTTAATGATGATGATAATATAATAATAATAACAATAATAATAATAATAATAATGGTGATGATAATATAATGATAATAATAATAATAATAATAATGGTGATAATAATATAAAAATTTGAGTCGATGAATAAAATAAATGAGTTATCTATTGGTATTAAAATTACAAACAAAACACGCGAGTAAATGTGAAAATCGAAGTTAACTTTGAACAGTTGTGGATTAAATTACTGAATGAACTAACTAATGCGTCTGTAAGATAAAAATTCGTGTTTACTACGACGGTTTGATTTAAGATGCACAGAACAACAACATCATCATCGTCGTCGCCATCATCATCTTCATCAGCATCATCCTCGTTATCATCATTTTTCTCATCATCATCATCATGGTAATTTGTAAAGAACAAGAAACCGGTTAACATGAAATTAAACATAAGCAACCCTTAAACTTACCAAATTTGTAAAATAAAAAGATCATAAATTGATTGCGTTAGGCTGGTATAAAGCACGAAGTTAAATTTTTTAAACATTTTCATTTGTGTGTAACAGTTGTTATCATCATCTGAGAGTGGGTGATTCATTCTAATAACTAAAACAAAAAAATTAATTTAATCACAAACACACACACCACACACACACTCACAACACACATTTTGACAAGTACACATTTAAATGAAACGTACCAACGTGTAACAATTCAGCAGATAAGAACCCAAAGAAGAAAGTTTCAAAGATGAAAGTTCTGAAGAAACATTTCATCCAGCACAAGTTTAAATTATTTCCTGATTGCAGCGTTACATTTCGGTCACATCACATAACAATCGAGTAGATATCATGCCTACTACACCACACCACACAAGTAAACCAGTCTTCCAAGAAGATTCGTCACTAAGGAAGTAACCAGTTTTCCAATGTGCATTCAGAATTCGATTTGAAATATGTAGAAAGAAATTTTTACGGATAGACGGAAAGATCTGAAAATTTGATGAATGAATGAAAAAATGAATAAATGAATGAATGAATGAATAAATGAGTGAGTGAGTGAATGAGTGAGTGAGTGAGTGAGTGAGTGAGTGAGTGAGTGAGTGAGTGAGTGAGTGAGTGAGTGAGTGAGTGAGTGAGTGAGTGAGTGAGTGAGTGAGTGAGTGAGTGAGTGAGTGAGTGAGTGAGTGAGTGAGGAAAGTAGATTCATTCGTCGTGAAGAAAAGGTGTCCAAAATAATTGTTCTGCAATTACTTGGTGCAACTAATTAAACAAATTAACCAAAGAATAATAAACCTGATGAATTTTAACGTGGTCATGTGATTCCATACGAATGATAGTTCAGCTCAGTCCAAATGGTTTAATGAAATGTCAAATTAATTTTTTTAATGAAATGTCAAATTAATTTTTGTAGCACTTGAATTTAAATAATTTAATTTCTAGCGAAGAAAATTTAATTACGAGATGATCAGTAAAAAATTCAAATGAAAATTGTAAATTAAACTAAAATTTCCAAGAAATAATCACATCACACACAAGCGGTGAGAATAAAGAAGAGCATCAAGAAGATTGAAGGCGGCGTCCTTTCATGTCTCTTCCACCTCATCATTCATCATTATCAACATGTCATCATCATCTTCATCATCCTCATCTTCTTCTTCTTCACCACCATCACTCTCATCATAAGAAACCTCACCCATACACTACTCGGTTACCATTACAAGTAATAAATAAGCCCTCTCCTCTTAACATGAAACCTTCTGCACCATCCATGAAGGCGAGGCGAGCCTGCAACTGAACACTCAATCACTGCCAACAACTTTCTTCAAACATCACGCGAACAGATATGCAAAATACTTGTACGAAAGAAAATTAAGAAATATTTAATTTAGTTATTTTAATTTATATATGTTTAAGGAATAATAAGGTTAAACGAGCGAACGGGACGCTACAACTGTTTGTTAAGAAGTTTGGAGGAAACTTCAAAACAACTGAAGAGTGAATTTAAAAATAATAAATCAATGTTCGCGATGCCCTCATTAAAATAAACAACTTCTCATGTCCACCGAACTGAACTGAGATGAATGAATGGAGTGGCAACATGGAAAGAAAAATTGCACCATTATGAACGAACATCCCTTGCATACATATCAATACAAACGCCCTGTGTTGTAATTATGTACTACATTCATACATACATCTATGCATACAATACACACACACCACACACACACACACACACACATACATGCCAGCATGCATACGTTATATTAACACATACACGCACACACTCATACAGCTATACATGAATACATATATATTGCATAAATATACATCATCTATAAACATTTTCAAGTGAATGTATGTTTGAGTGTGTAAACAATCCAAACAGCCAAACAAACAAACAAACAACACAAAAGGAAGACATATATATGATGTCTATAAATATACATTTCGTTATTTTTATTAGTTACATTATTCATATTAATAATTTGAACTTTTCCATATAATAACGGAAATGTTTAGAGAAGCAGTGGCTTGATGAAACTGAAAATTTTAACAAACCAGAAGACAAACCTGCATAAAGCATAATTACACGGCATTCATTCGTTCGTTCGTTCGTTCGTTCATTCATTCATTCATTCATTCATTCATTCATTCATTCATTCATTCATTCATTCATTCATTCACTGTATGCAACCTCGAGAACATCAGTGAACATTAACAATTCACACGTACATTGTGATGTAAAGATGTTGGGTAATTGAAATTTTATATAAAGAAACACTTGGAAACGCAAAATGCACAGCTAACAAACACACACAGACATGCACATAAACATACAACACACACACTCAGAAACAAACACACAAACATACAAACAACACACACACACACACATACATACATACACCAACACACAGACCACAGGCAGGCAGTTTCATTGACTAACTAACCTGATCTTTGCCCTGGTACATTTTAAATCACTCTCTCACAGAGCACAACACCACAAAATAACATCAACACCCCATCAACACAACATCATTACATCAACAAAACATCACATACATCAACCAACCACCAACCATACCAACAACTTCTATACTATTAGCTCACTCATATATACATAAAATTATAAAGCATGAAAATAAAAAATATTTTTATTATATTTATAATCACAACAATTTATTTTATACCCCAAGCTGACCCGGCTCAATTACAACAAACAATTATATTTTTTTATTTCTACATCGCCCGATGTATTTTTTATTTTTGTTTTGCTTTTGTTGTGAAGAAGCAAGATTTGATGTAGAGGTTTTTATTTATTTTGTTTAAAAAAAATTGAAATTGAAAGATAAGAATAATTCGTGGAAGAAATTAGATAAGATGACTACACTGAGATAACGTGATGCCATTAAAACGACTATGCATACATACATTCATACGTACGTACATACACACGCACATACATATATATATACATACATACACACATGCATACATACATACGCACAACATACGTACACACATCCGTACATGAACACACACAGTGAAGGTGCGCGCGCACACACACAAATATATATATATACATAAACAGTATATTATTTTAAAATATTCATGCCATTTAAGCAAGAACATAGATAGGATTTTTCTTAGTACGTGCTTCTAAACATTTTGAAATATTTTCCTGAGAATGTACACTGCTAATATGCTATTTCCACATTCACGATTACCATCAGGTAACTCTTGGGTAACATTTTCAAATGATCTAACCTTGTTTCACGTTATTACATTTAAAAATTTTCAGATACAGAAATTAAATTATGAAATGACAAATAAAAAGACAAATACCTAAGATGTCTTGAATAAATTTTATATGAAAATGCGTAAAATACTGGGTGTTTCGAAAAATGTACGTACAATTTAAATGTAATGCAATTCTATAAATGGGTGGGTAGGGTATACACACTGAGACGCCATGCGGATTGTTTACAAATTATTCATTTTTGATGCTATTAACGGAAACAAAATGAAACATTACTAGAAGAGCGCAACATCAGAAGAAACAAAGAACAACTCACAATGGACATTGAGTTGGACACCGGACTCCTGAAAGCCGAATGCATTTTCGGCCCTGCATATGTAGATACCCTCGTCTGATGAATCCACTTTTTCAATTTTCAAACTCTTGTTGTCTTGTATGAAAGACCTGAGTGTGTTTGGAATGAGAATTTTGAGTGAAAAAGTGTTAAGAGGACAGAATTTGAAATAATGAAACAGGGGCATTGGAAATTTCGACGCTAAATTGTTAAATGCTTAGAAGTTGTAGAAGATATGTTAAGGTGAAAATGAATGAATGAACACAAGCAAACCAGATGAAACAAATATTTCAAACAAACTTCTATATATTTAATCATTATAAATCTAATGTTCATATTTTGTTTGTTGCTATAAATATGACCTTTTTATGCATTCATGCAAGTGTTGCTTGTTTTGTTTATACACGTAACATACGTATGCGTGTGTGTGGAGTGGAGTGTACATTAAAATAAATAAGTTGTTAAATAAGAAAATAAACTGTTGCATCAATAAATGTGTGGTATAACTCCTGCGACTAAATTCATCTGAAATAGACAAATTGGTTGCAATTTAAGCTCCTGTGAATGTAATGAAAGTTAAACAGTGAAAATATGGTTTCTTTTTCTGATTTCGACTATTTAACTAATAAAAAAATGAGGACTTTAAAATTTTTGGCATATCCAAAAATAAAAAATAAAAAAAAGAGGCAAACGTGAAGAACCTTCCTTGCGGAATGTTCGAATTAAGTTTCTTCCAGATGATTGTTGGTTCCGGGTCGCCAGTGGCTCTGCAGTTGAAAACGACGTTCTCATGCTCCTTCACCACCATGTCCTTTGGCCCCTCCACTATTCGAGGTTTCTCTGTTTGAATAAAAAAAAATAGTTTCCGATAATATTTCTTTAATTAAACTTTTTTGTGGTCATGTAGTATTAAGAATTGATTAAGTTCATCATTACTTCTCAGTTGGTGGATGATAGGTGGAAAGTTTAAAAAAAATATACAAACACACACACACACACACACACACACACATGTGTATATAAATATATATATATATATATATACATATATATATACACTTTTATATGTATCCCTTACATATAACAAGTTTACAACTCGAAATATGAAGTGTGGGCAAAATGTAAATGTCGGAATAAGATGTGCCATGGCCTGAATGTCTGCGCACCATCACATGCTGGATGGATGGATAAATGGATGGATAAATGGATGGATGGATGGATAGATGGATGGATAAATGGATGGATGAATAAATGTTGTTTATCAGATGTTGCAGCTAGCAAACAGTGGGTGCATTCAATTGAATAAATATATCAACAGTCATCACACGCACCATCCATATGCTGTACTATATAACCACATCAAATTCACACTTAACAAAAGTTAGCTCATCGCAAAGTTTGGTTGAATTACATATATGTGTATATGTATGTGTGTGCTCGTATGCTTGTGGAATCAAGTATCACATTCAAATGTGTACGTGTGTGTGTGTTCAATTTTATAATTTATGTTTCTTTCATTTATTTATTTATCACTCTGGAAGGTGATACATAAACTGTTAAGTCGTGTAACGTCATACCATATGAACGTAATAAATTTTTTCAAGTTACTTCTTATGATAGATGTTAAAAATTGAAAGATACTATGTGCAGTTGGAAAGTTGTAGTATAACAATTTTTGTTTTTTAAAGCCGACATCATTAATATATTCAGTTTTTTAATGAAAATGTTAAGAATACTTCCCAAACAACAATTTCTAACCAAAAAACATAACCGCTTTGTGCATCAGCTCACACAGCATAAAAATCGAAGGCATGACTGCGTTGATTTACTTGTTTCTAAGCAAGTTATTTGCTTTGAAGTGGATCATTGCTATTATTTTCATTAACTTTACCGGCATCACCACCACCACCACCACCATTATTTCTATCATCATCATCCCCATCATTCTCTACGTCATCGTCTACATATTATCATTGTATGGTGCAATTTTGCAGGGAGATTGTAAAGATATGCAACAATTTGTTCGGTGAAGATGTTTACGTAATACCTAGCAATGTTAAATGTAGGTACGCAAAAATATATTCAAGATGGAAATTGTTCGAATCATTCGCCAATCATTCAACACACCATCAAACTAACGACTGGCTGGATGGCAGAGGAATTTTAATTGCACTACCAAGTAGACACAACAACATCATTTAATAATTTTAATGTTCACCCTGCTTAAAATAACCAAAAATATTATATTGGTGTAATGCTCACGAATATAAAATATGAAAAGCAAAAATTGTCTGTTGGCATGTGCGAATTTGCAATTGAATGAAATCTCTGCGTTGTTCTGTGATCTATCCTAATTCATTTTTTTTAATTTCGTATCAAAACATCATAACAGCTGAGAACATTGCGACATGATATTGAGACATGCAAGCCTCACCACCCAGACGATAAAATAACGGTATTTTGTAATATTAATGGACGCAACATACATGACGGGATGTTGACGTGAGTTGAAATATGCACTTCCAAATGTAGTAGATGGAGTATGTTCATTTCAAAACAGCCCAGATACAAGCAAACAGGCAATTGAACTGTGATAACAACCAAGAACATAAACAAATTTAAGTGCTTGCTATTAGGTAGAGAAAAATAAATGGCATATCAATAACAACGAATTTTTATCTGTTGTTTATTTATCAATAACGGTGAAATTTTTACACGTAAACAACAAAAATTGCATATCAACACGTAACGGATTTAAATAAGTAGTTCAACAATATTTTTGAAGAATAAAATGGTATAGAAAGGCCCGTCTAAACTAAGTGCATCGGCATCATCATCTCGATGCACGTCCTATACATCAGACACTGGTCGTAATTATACAGAATCGAAGCGTTAGTTTTAGTTCAGTTTTCTATCCATTCAACATAAATTCGTTGTTTTCTTTAGCCTAACTCATGGCTGTTTCAGGTTATGTATGTACCAATGCACCATGTATACGCAATGTACGTGATTCATTTGTGATGGGTGGGTTAGACAAATTTAAATACTTCGCATAATGAAATGTAGGTAATATAGACAAATTTCACTACAAACACGCACACACACTTATATATATATATATATATATATATATATATATATATACACACACACACATATATATACAACAAAAAAAATATATACAACAAAAACACGCACACACACTTATATATATATATATATATATATATATATATATACACACACATATATATACAACAAAAAAAATTCACATACATCCTATACTTGAATCATTCACCTTAAACGACAGAATGAAAAAACCAATATTGTTTCCATATTAACGCATTTCAAATCCAACTTAAAAATTTAATAATGTCCTTATAAATGTAAATAATTATATAAATAAATGCATCACCTAATACTAAAAAAATTGTTTGTCTGCTTAAACGAATTGAATCAGGAGAACTTATTAACTTATTAACAAAATAGTGATAACTGAGGTATATAAACAAACAATGCTGCAGTGCTGCAAAAATCGCTAACACCGGCACAAAAGCGACCTTGCAAATAAATGTTAATGCGATGCTGTTTGGGTGGGAGATTATTCAGTAAAACCTATCAGTCAACAATGATCAAGAATTTCAAACGATCCATAAACTAATCAAATGTTTTATTTGTTCAACTTAATCCAGCTTCTTTTGCAGTGCATTCTATACAATTTATTTATTTACAATCGATATATTCAATTTCTTTGGTAATCCGTTCGGGGAATTAGAACAATTGTTTGGCTGATAGTAAACTTTTCTAATAAAACATTGTATAATTAAAAAGCAACTGAAAAAGAGAGGGTTACATGCAAAAAATTATGCTATTGAATTTTATGAAACAAAACAAATTTATTAAATTCAATTTTTAAAAAATACAGAAATATAAATTTGGAAAAATTAAACACAAAAAATCAAAAATAATAAACCGCATTATAAAAATGAAAGTTAAAGTAGCTACTGATTCCTACCTCTCACTGTTAACTGGGCAGGTTGACTTTCCCTCTCGCCATTCTGTCCGAGGACAAGGCAAGTGTAGATGCCCCCGTCGTCCTTACGAACGTCACTGATCCGTAGCGTTCCCGATTTTGTGACATTCATCCGGTCGATTTTCAAACGTTGTCCATCTTTTCGCCACTCAATGGTCAGTGGAGACTCACCAGGGGGTGGCTTGCATGTGAAGGTAGCCACAGTTCCCAGAGCAACGTCTTTGTTGCTTGGATTCTCAATGAAGCTTACATTCTGTGCTGTTGTAGTGATATTTCAGTGATGTTGTGCCAATGTGATGATGGATGATGTTATGGTGATGCTGTTGTAGTGATGTTTTGGTGATGTTGTGCCAATGTGATGATGGATGATGTTATGGTGATGCTGTTGTAGTGATGTTTTGGTAGTGTTATGGAATTGTTACTGGGATGTTTTTGGTCTGTCAGTAATGAAAGTGTGTGGACTTTATAAAATAATAAAAAAGGATCAGGTTAATTCATTAGTGTTTTGAATGAATAAAAAATTACTTTCATACCCACAGTAACAAAAAACCGTGCAACGTACTTAACAACACGGCGATTATAAAGACATTAACAACATCGACAACAACTTTAAAACATTTAAAAAATATAACATAATAATAAGCATAAGGAGAGAACATGAGATACATTGAAGTAATGGAATGCTATCCAAGAAGGCACGTGAAACTTTATATTAGTGATAATCAAATGATAAAAATCTGAAATAAAAATCGAGAAATCTATTTCCAGGAAACACAATGATAGGAAGGTATTGTTCTTCTTAATCAAAATAAGTTACATGATAGATTCATATCTTTTACATTCATGGAAAATTTATTGAAATAATTTCTTGTAGACTAGTTTGAATGACTTAAAAAATAACGTCATGTGAATAATTTTGTGTGGGTGTAACTTAACGCAGGTTGAAAATATCATGTATGAGATGAGAACCGAGTCTGAAAAACATTTCCTTTGATAAAAAACAGGTAACACGTCTAACTTTCTTCAGACAATGAAGCAGAAAAGATAATAAAATTAACGAGAAAAAGTATTTCTTAACAGTTGATGATGTGTGTGTGTTTACATTTGCAGATACCCTGTTAAAACTAGTTGTTTATAAGTAAATGAACTGTTTTTTTGCAAGTCAGTCATCTTTTTCACATTTTTATAAAAATCTGAGTACAGATATTAAATTAAATTAAGTACTTTTGAATGCCAAACTCCCATTAAAATTGTTACAAAAATGTTGAAGTAACTAATTAATACAAATTAAAAAATGGATGAATGACCTGGAATGGGTAATTTATTTATTAAAATTAGCCAAATATGGATAAAAGTTGAATATCAACGAAAAACAACGGAAAAGAGGGAAACTACCGACCTCAACAGTACTTTAATGGATTGAAAAGTATGATCGATTTTATTGATTAATGAAAAGCTTCGATAATTTTACAAAAATTGGAATTATTAATGACATGTCAAGTGATTATTTTGGGCTAAGTTGATTCAACTGAGCTCCCCGCTCAATTATGTTAGCATTATAAATAAAAAATGATCGTTTTGTGCACTGACATCATATAAGACGATGGCGGTGTACATTCGCGCTAACCAAGTAACCAGTCACTCATCTGGAAACATCTGGAGGGTTACATCTGCTTACAATGCTGGAAAAATGTAAACTGTTATTTATGTGATGGTATCAGAGTATTTTTTCTGCTTGACATTGAACGCGGTCATTACGCATCGCTTACTCTCATCGTGTTAGAGTCCACTGCGTTTGGATAAAGAGTAAATATAGATATGCATATAGTTATATTTTTGTATGTACATTATACACGAAGAATAATAAATGTTTCAAAAATGATATATACAATTAAAAAACTGATACAAAATGATGTAAGAAACGAGATAGCGGTTACAGTTTGTCAGAATTTTACTAAATTATAATTTTCCTTTCATTCGACAAAGGATGTGTTGTTACCTTTTTGTATGAAACCAACCAAACAAACCATGAGGTTTTCCAACCTTTATCATTATATTGGCTTCTTAATTGATAGAACCGTTGAATTTCTGTTCTAGTTATTGACAGACAAGCTCTTAAGAAACTTTATTAAAATGTTTTTGGTGATTTATTTTCACCCATTTCTATTCTGCTGTCGATCTAAATCTTTTTTTTCAAACTTTTGTTGAATAGTATCAAATGCTTTCGTTGGTATAAAACGGACTCACATCAATTTCATGTAAAGTTACATTACGTTTGCGGGGTATGACCACGTGCATTGTAAATTTTCTTATTCAGCTCTTCAACTTCCTGTACAACTAATTACGTACAACAACATGCACAAATTGTATCGTGGAGAAGTGTACTGTACACTAGCTATGGAGAAGTGTTAAATTATTATTCGTTATTGTTTTGGGCGTGAAAAACCATTAATGTTACATTTATATGTACAAGTGTAAATGCGAAGCTTGAAGTATATTGAAAGTAAATGTCGAAAATTGCTGATGTTTTGTACGTAATACAAATGTTTATGTGTACTGATGATGTGAAATATGTAGGAATAAATTTTTGCGGATCAGAAAGATCTGAAAATATGTGATGAATGAATGAATGAATGAATGAATGAATGAATGAATGAGTGAATGATAGATGAAAGTAAAAAAGAAGAAATGAAAGAACGGTGACTAATATTAGGTTAGATCGTTAGAAGATTAATAATTATGTTTTCTAATTATCCTGCCCCCTATATGTATAAATTTTGGTCATTTAATTGTGTGTATAATACATATACATTCACATAAAGCCTATTCATCACAAAAATATAAAATCGATGAGCATAGTATAGAAGCAAAGTAATTGTGTACAATATTTCACCGCATAAGTGCACATTCGAACATTGCCTGGCGTAATGTAGTGACGAACAACAAATCGAGGAGCGAGTAGATAGAAAAACACATTGTTGTATTGCATGTGTGCTAATTTATGCAAAACATGTAACATACATCTATAAATGTTTATATACACTAATAATACGCAACATACATCTTTACCATTTAATGCGTGTAACATAGATTTATGTAGATAGAGAACTTTTAGCGAAAATAGGAGCGTTCAACAGCCAGATATGGTGGTACACATTGATTTGCATGATGAGATGATGTTGCGTGCAGTTGCGTGCAGTTGTGTTGTTGTGTAGTGTTGCAGAGGGAAGAAGCAAGAAGCAATAAACAAAAGCCTCGCCACACTGCTGCTCCTACAACTTATTGATCTGTCAACACAATACTACCTGCGTACGCGCTGGAACATGAATGTGCAGCGCATACATTTGCCTTTACACATTGCACGCCTATTACTTATTTTTATGTAATGTAAGTACTAACCTTTACACACACACACACACACACACACACACACACACACACACACACACACACACACACACACACACACGTATATATATATATATATATATATATATATATGTATGTATATATAAGAGACCCTAATTAATGCAGTAATTTATGAAATCTACACAATTTTTAGCGTTGTCTTCGGTTGGTCGTAGATATTTTAGTGAATGCTGGTAAAAGAACAGAATTTCTAGCGTATATAAATATAAATATTTTAATCTCAAAGGAAACAGTAAAAATCTCAATTCTACCTCTTACCCTGCCCTTCCGACTAGCAGCAAAAATAAGAGCTATATATATTGTATTAAGACTTTTAGGCACATACATAGCTTTAGCTATATCCTCATCTATAATTAATGCTATTATACTAAAATTAATCTTATCTGGATATATTCTATTTGAATTCGCCATCTGCTTCATTTGAGCATATATTTTTTGCTTACTTCTTCTATAAAGAGCTATTGTGAGGATGATGTGTGGGGTTAAAGTGAAGGATAGGAGGAGTAGTACAGAGCTGATGTCAATGATGGGACTGAATTAGGACATTGTGACATTGATAAGGAGATCGAGATTGCGGTGGTATGGACATGTGTTGAGAAGGGATGAAAGGGTCGGGATTAGGCGAGCGTTGGAGTTCGAGGTTGAAGGAGTGGTAGGAAGGGGTCGTCCGCGATTGGGATGGAGAGAGCAGGTGGAGAAGGACAGGGTGAAAGCGGGGTTGCGTGATACTGAGGCGAGTGACAGATGTGGATGGCGTCGAGGGGTATTTCGGTTTCATCATAGGTAGCCAAACGGCAACCCCCGATCTCGGGGAAAATGCCGTCTAAACGTGTGTTGTTGTTGTTGTTTACTTCTTTCACTATACACAGATGATCACACTATCTAAACATTAGCAATACATGCATTTTGATTTCGGCTCAAAAAGTGGAAACCTTCCAATATTTACACATATATTTATCACTAAATAAATTTGTTTAAATTCTGACTTTGTTACTGAGTGTCTTCACTAAGTGAATTTATTAGAATTATGACTTTGTTAGTTGGTAGGCTGTTGAATACTTATTTCTGGAGGTCTTTGCTCGATGAGCTAAGATTCTGCAATCCTTAAATTGTGTGGATTGTTGTTGTAGTGAATTATTTCCTCGTTATTGTCAAGTATCTCTCCGTGATTTAAACTTTTTTATTTATTTTTGGCAATAAATATTCAACAACACGCTACTGGAGTTGGGATGTACATAAATGTTAAAACGAAAATGCAAAGAATCAATAACAATTTGTTTACGAACTGAACAAATTTGATAATGAACTGAAATTCATCGTACGAAAAATTGTAAAACTCAATTGCGAGTTGAACACTGTATGCCATGCTGTGATATTTTTAAACAACTGCATACCAGATAGCCTCAACCCAATGTATATATATATATATATATATTTATATCATTTATAATATTCCATATATATATATATATATATATATATATATCATTTATAATATTCCATATATATATATATATGGAATATTATATATATATATATATATATATGAAATATTATATATATAAATATAAATACATACATACAATGATCAATACCTATCATAAGAAGAGTACGTTGTTGATGTACTGTACACATCCAGTGTACACCTGCCATGTTGTCTTAGCATACTCAAACATTTTTTGTTCATAACATTCGTCCTTTTTCACCCTTGCAAAAATTTTGTGCTTAGCAAAAATGTGCCTTGTTCTGATTTTGTTCTTGGTGCATTTTCTTATATTGACTCTATAATACACACATACACGTACACGTAGTTGAAACCGGTTAATTAAAGCATCGGTTAAATGGACCAGTGGCTTATTGAGACTAACTATTGCAGAATTTAATCTTATCCTTTATTGTAAGGTTAATTTACTTCGCTTATTCAAACCACAAACCTTGCAGCCACTGTGGAATATCGTCCGCCGATAATGAGATCTCAGCTTGTTTTTATAATTTGACTCTTTATAGCCTGAGAGAGTTGAGGCCATTCACTCAAACCACAAAGCTAATTTATTAATGTATGTATATACGTATGTTTGTATGTATGTATTATTATTATCATTATTAGAAAATTTATATAGCGCCCTTTAATACAACTCAAAGGCGCTGCTTTCGTCTGGTGAAATCATCGGGAAAAAAGATACGTCTTCAAGTCTTCAAATGTATGTATGTATGTATGTATGTTTGATTGTTTGTATGTTTGTGTGTGTAGAGTGCGTGTGTGTATGTGCGTGTGATATTTCATTATAGCTGGAAGTGTGGGCGAATAGCGGCAGTTCAATATAATGGTCAAATTTGGTGGTGCAAACATGAACAAGAACGCCCATCAGCCAAAAATGAGGTCAAAATGCACATGAAAAATTTAGACTGAACTGATGTGCAACTTGATGTTCTGAGTTATTAACATCAGTTATTAACAAATGAAAACTGATTTTCGATAAATTTTACTTCTGTCAGATCATAGTCAAATTTTGTCTTGTTCATGGCAATTTACATTCGATAGAGAAACACAGATCATTCAACGTATCGGAAATTTATGAGAATCAATTATCTGATTGGGATCTTTCGCAGGAAATTGAGATCATTTCGATTTCCTCCAATGTTCATCTGATTCATGCAATCTTGAGATGCTCATGTTAGATAAACATGTCTAACAAATAAGAAATGTACGGGCTCTTTAAATAATGAAGAAGTTATGAATGCTTGAAATGTTGTTGAATTAATGGTGTTTTATAGGTTTATTATCAAGAAATCTGAAATATGCGGCACAAATTTACGTTTAAATTGTGAGTAAAATAACCATTCAAAATTGAGAATATATGTAAATATTAAATTAATATTCTCTTATTAACTTGAAGTACCAATAAACTTAACTTGTGTTTACAACTTTTATTTCAATATTAAAGACATAATCAAACATATTTGCTAACACAGAAGAACCCGATTTTATTTACTGCAATGATAACATTAAGTGCTTTCTCTCTCAAGTGCGCCCTTTTACATTTTATTAAGTACATTCGCAGTAGTTATCCCTGCTTGCTTATTCAAATTTCTAAAAGTAATGCTTGCAAAGACCTCAGCAGCAAGCAACCAAAAAATCAAACAAGATCCCGATACCAAACAACGGCATACAAACAATAATTCAATATGTGTGTCACACAACTCTGATGACACTGAGATGCCATCGCCAGCTACTACAACCAAGGAAAAATGTAATTAAAATGTAGAAAACATAACATAGCATATAATAAATGCTGCATGCATAAGTAGACTTAGAAAGAAGAGTCAGTGCAAGTGATTTATGGCTAGGTTACGTGCTGCAAATAAAAAGGGAGCGGCATGAAATACTTCCATCCTTCAAGACATGCTACGAAGGTTTATTTTTAAACAACATTTTTATCCTTTTGTTTTGTGGAAATCAAACATTCAACCCAAAGAAAAAAAAATGAACAAACTTGAAATCTGCACAACAGCCTTGTTGCTGATGACACTGAAACCAGTTTGTGGGTTTGTAGCGTTGCAATAATACACCCCAACGTGGTGCTCCGGGTTGACTTTCATGAAGAAGAGTTGTCCACTCGGTAGGATCATGGTGTTGGACTGAGAATCCTCATTTGAGGAAATGACTGGCTGACCATTTTTGTACCAGGTGACGTTCGGCTGTGGATTACCCGATGTGCGGCAGTTGAGCGAGGCCGGCTTGTTGACCGTCACATATTGGTTCTCTGGATGCTCGATTATCTCGGGGTTTGTGGCAAGGGAATTTCCTGGAAAAATATTTAAGAAATGGTTATCAGATCTATGGTGCATGCTTCAATTAAACATTTTGTGATCATATTTACCTAATCTATTAATAAAATATTTTTAAATGGTGAACAATTTGTAATCAAGCACTGTTTTTTTGTTTCCTGTTCATCTGGTTGATGAGTAAATCGCTACATGCATGTTGTATACGTCAGTTTTTTAAATGAAAATATATTAAATAATTTGAACAATAACTTGAAAAATTTCAACTTACAAAGAAATAAACTTTTAAATTTCCATTAATCTGTATAACCAGTGAGGACTTATAACATTATTTTCAAAACATAGACGTCAACTTTTAACTTAACATTCCATTCACACGCCAAAGTTCATCATTCCATGGTAACAATAGACACATGAACCGTTGAACTATGAACTCGAGTCTATTGACTCAGAACGAAATGTGAGAACGTTAATTCATTTCTACATATGTGACCCTAGCAGCAAACACTTCCAACGCTCAAACAATGTGCTTAACGAGAAACTTCGTTTTAACAACGAAAACAACTTTTAAAATAAAGCTACGCTGTGCAAATTTGATTAAAATTTGCAATTAAAATTAGTGAATACAGGTGAAAAATATGTACAAAATGAGCAAACTCGTGTAAAAAACATGTAAAAAACAGTATACATGATGAATGTTTATACAACCTTTGCACTTTTGGAAATTTATAAGACAATAAAATATTTTAATGGAAAAAACAAAACTATTAATGTTACTCACCGTTGTTTATCATAAATGTATCCACAGCGTATCATTGTTTTTTGAAACATGTACGTACAATTACTTTAAAACATCTTGCAGCAAACGTCTTTAAAGAGCGAATTCATCACATACATTGTTTTTCTTCATATTGTAACGCAGCAGCAACAACAATAACAACGCATACATCAAACAAAATTGGGTCACGCTAAAGAGAAAAGTACTTAGGTGGATATGTTTAAATCGCTTTGTTCCCCCAACAATGACCATCCGTTGAAATTACGTACTGTGGCAGAACAAGCATGTTATGTAATCAACGTGAAGAACCGACATCCAACCAAAAGTTGATGAAAGAATTTACACAACGTCTGCTCTATAATCTCTCGCCAATGATTCATTTCCTATCTCAAAAAGTTTGGTTGCAAAGGAAAAAGTTTCTGTTTCCAGATCCTTCTAACAACAAACCGCAAGAATTTGAATGGCGATCATGACCAGTGCTGGATTGAACAAGTGAAAGTAACGTGACCAGCATAAACAAATATCATCACCACTGGTGGACAACCAACCATCATAAGAATAACCATCGTCACCATTTCCACCATTTTCACTCTCATCTAGGTCGATTTTGTTGTTCACATAAACATCATCATTGTTTTTAAAATTGTGTGCACTGTCACTATCACTTAATATGAAAACATGTATTTATTTAATGTATGCAAATGGAAGCTGGCAATCTATGTTTAAATTTAATTCTGTTTGGTATTAATTTCATTTTTTAAACAAATCAATCAGTCAATCAGTCAACCAATCAATCAAATGGTTTACAAAGCACCCCCGCAATGTTCAACAGCTCCTCGATGGATTTAACTAACAAATAGGTCTTCTTGAGATCCACTTTGAATTTCATAAAAGATGGAAAAGTAGTTAGAGAGGTCAGTAGAGAGTTCCAGAGAAAAGGGTCAGAAAAAGCCAACGCAGGCTTAGTTTGAGAGGGTTTAACACGAGTTAGGAAAAAGTGAGAGCGACGATCGTGAACCGGCGTTTAGATTTAATTAATATATCAAGTACAACAAAGTCACATAAAAAGGGACACAGAGAATAAGGAGAGTCAGAAGTGACCTCATCAATGATAATTAAGAAGATGTTGATTAAGAAGATGATGAAGATTGTAGCGACGATGATGGCGAGAAAGATGATGAATGAGTTACTCGCCCACCATTAACGAGCGTCCATACACAAATAGAACTAAGAAAGTAGTGATTACTTGGCAAGGATAATGATGATGATATTGATGATGGTAACAATGATGTTGGTGATCATGATAATGATTAAAATGGAAATGATGATGATGATCATGTTTGGTGATGATAATGATGATGATGGTAAGGGATGAGTCATGCTCACCAAACAAAGCCAGCCCAGCGTTATAGATTGTGCATATGAAACTTGAATGAACGTGGGAGAGAGAGAGTGAGTGGTGGATTGGATACACACAAGTCCGACGCGTACACTGATGAATCTGCTCAGCGTGCACCATACAAACTGGTGTACACTCTTCTATACATACTATGCTATACATGGTATATGCGTGCAGAACGTGTTTACTTATATAATACACAGAAATGTACACATTAACATATATATGATATATATATATATGTGTGTATACCATTATATCTATATATTTATATAAGCAAGTGAAACTGCAATACAAAATTTACAGTTTTTAAAACAATCATAGGCATCCCAAATTACAAGTATTATTTGATAAATAAATAATAAAAACTTCAAAATTTAAAAGAGAACGATTGTGTCAGCACGCACACTCACACAGACACAGGCACACACTCACCGGCACACACGCACACACTCACGGACACATGCAATTACTAACTCACTCACGGATACACACACACACACAGTCACGCACGGAGAAAATATAATACATTAGCAGAACATAAAAAACGCTGCATTAATATTAATGAGGTAATCACATATGCAGCCCTTCACCTGCAGGAATGAAAGCTGAATGAACGTCAATCAATATATAATATGCAGTCTTGTGAAAGTGAAATGAAATACATTGTTGCTATTGTTGTCACGTTTGTAACAAATAGTCTCATTGTAAAATGTGCATATATAACAAGTGTACATGTAATTCCTATCGTCATAATCATTTCATTACAGCCCGATTAAATTACTTTGTTGGGCTAATTCAAATGTTTGATTGGATCGCGATAGTAGATTGGTTACTGTGTAACTGATGTATGCACACACACATAAACATATATACATATGCACGTATGTAACACGTGTAGACATTTGACATTTAAGCGTAGCAGCATTGTTATTAGGTTATTATTTGTTTCCTTTCCAACTTTTCTTCTAAAAAAAAATAAGTACTTAGGTGAAAATCTGATGAAATAAATGACATTTTATTTATTTGTTTAAAATGCAGATGACCGCTGGACCGAGATGTGCGTGCGTGCTATCGTGCTCTGTCCGTTGCGTTTTCATCTGTTATTATGCTATTACATCAAATAGAATCAAACTCAACTTTCAAGCAAATGCAACATAGATTTTTCGTTACAACTTGCACCTGGTTATATTCATTGTTCAAACATTTCATGTGATAACATAAGATAATGCACATAACATAAGATAATGCACATAACATAAGATAATGCATGCACACTATATATGTCAATTTATTTTATCTCGTCATAAATCAATTAAACTAAATCTTTGTTTCTTTGATTTTTTTTAGTTGCTAATAATTTTTGTAAAAAAGTTGTCTAACTGAAAAAATTTATAGTACAATGTGATTATTAGATACGGTTCACTTGCAATTTATAAAACGCTAACGAGGAAAAATGCAACTATGTCAAGAATATCTTTAATGTTATCCAGTAGCACAACGCCAAACACACAAACATAATGTTAAGTCTCAATTGTTATATAAAGGTAGATACGTTTTGCAAACACTTACCCCTCCCCCCTCACTTTCTCTCTTTATACGTATCTATATATATCCAACACATACATAGACACACACACACACACACATAAAAACACAAATACATTAAACAATTACATAAATGATGGACGTAGATTGTTTATAACATGTTTACACAATTATCCACACGCGGTTTATTGCTTTTGCGAATTAAACCCTGCTATCAAAATACACCCTAGATGCTATATTATGTCGAGTCTATACACACACGCACGCACGCACGCACGCACGCACGCACACAAACACGCACACACACATACTGTTAATTTTCTTCATCAATTTTTTAAGATTTAGATTACACTTTTTCATCGTAAAAAAGCGACCAGCTTAGTAACATTTAAAAAATTTGATGCTAATATTTTATTGAAAAATGTTTCGATAATCTATGGCCGTTGTCGAGTTCCATCCAGATTACATGATGATATTATGTGATTATTTTAACAAGGAAAATTTGCATGCATGGATGATTTTGTATGGTTACAGGCTGAGTGGATTTCAGACGTGTAGTGGTTATCAAACCAACAAACTAATAAAATTTTGTTTGATGGTTACGATATATAAATATATATATGAAGTACAATATATATATATATACATATATATATATATATATATATATATATATAATCAACACCAATGAAAATGTGTAAATACACGTATCATGTGTTCATGTGCTTGGAGTGCTGTAGCCTAGCATAAATAGATGGCACATAATATTGAAAAAATTTCTAAACAAGAAATTCAGCTACGGAACATGGATATATGTGTGTGTTATGTTACATTTGCATTGCAAGCATCATAAACTATCATCATAAACTTGCAAGTTAATTTGTACATTTGATAACAGCAACAGCTTGCAGAAGTAGGATATACTAAAAAACTATATCGAGATTAGTTTGAAAATAATAAACAAATAAAATAAACATATGCTTCCTTTATCAAAGTGAGATAAGATATTCATAAGCAGAAAACAATTAACTTCTGCAATCAATAAAACGTTCCTTAAGGAGAGCGGGTGAACGTTAGAACTAGTCGGTCCTTCCTCTCACTCTCTCTCTCTCTCTATATATATATATATATATATATATATATATGTGTGAGTGTGTGTGTGCGTGTGTAGTATAGCAAATTCCTTTTTCGTAGTTTGATAGCATTTCTTCTCGATACATATTTTATTGAAATCGATATAGCGATTGGGCGTGCTATTCAACTTTTTTAATCCAGTCCTCCAGCTCTCTTCTTGCTATTATTCACATATTATATTGTCATATTTTTTATAATTGTAAAATAATAAAATTCAAAAATTCATGCTCCTATTACCATTTCTATTTTAATAAATAACAAATAAATGAAACAATGAAGGAGAAAGTAAACCGTTGTTTGGATGTAATAATAATCCAAAGATGAGGTGGATACAGATAGGTATCATAGTATCATATCCGACGAAAACATGGGATGGTGTATCCTATATGATGTTGATCTTGTTCATCTACCCATCCAATTTATACCTTATGCCTGCAATCTGTGCGTATTATATATAACACAATACAGCTGGAAAATTTTACGTGTGTATAACTAATGTAATAAATAAGATGAACATTAAATATTTAGGACACCAGAGACGGAATGAATGTCAAGCCGAAGATAATTTAGGCAACTAATAAACGCAGCCATGTACAAGCTTTCCTTTATTGATGGATGGATGGATGAACGGGTGCATGCTTTAAATGATCCATACATACGCTTGCCTGTATCAGTCTAAAAAGAGTGCACGTTATATATTATACAATTACATTTATATATATATATATATATATATAGGTGTGTATGTATGTATATAAATGTTGTATAACAATATACACGTTTCAAATATATTGCATACATGTTACCTATAAGTCAGTCAGTCAGTCAGAGTCAGTCAGTCAGTCAGTCAGTCAGAGTCAGTCAGTCAGTCAGTCAGTCAGTCAGTCAGTCAGTCAGTCAGTCAGTCAGTCAGTCAGTCAGTCAGTCAGTCAGTCAGTCAGTCAGTCAGACAGTCAGTCAGTCAGTCAGTCAGTCAGTCAGTCAGTCAGTCAGTCAGTCAGTCAGTCAGTCAGTCAGTCAGTCAGTCAGTCAGTCAGTCAGTCAGTCAGTCAGTCAGTCAGTCAGTCAGTCAGTCAGTCAGTCAGTCAGTCAGTCAGTCAGTCAGTCAGTCAGTCAGTCAGTCAGTCAGTCAGTCAGTCAGTCAGTCAGTCATAATTATAACGTACACACCACAAACACACACACATTCTCACACACACACAAACATTCACACACACACACACACACACACATACAAACGTATATTTATATTATATATAAATATTCTATAGTATATTATATATATAAATATATATATATATTCATAAATATATGAATATAATTTATTCATAAAAAAAGGTTTCTATCTTTTTGAGGACCAAGAGATTAAATGGCTTTTACAAAAAATGTTTTGAATACGACTTTATAAAGAAAAAATGTTTGCATGCCTTGCAAGATATGGAAAAATATTTTTTGCTTTTCCTTTGTCACCCGAATAGAACTTCCACTAAGTTAAATTTAATATTAGTTTCCGTAATGTTAATAAATTGACAATAAATAGCGAACAACGACATTTACGAGCTACATTTTTCCATATTGTTTACGGTCACAATAAATGTCGAACGACGATGATTTCGCCGAGTCGATTAAATTATTGTAAAATTGATCCAATCAATTTAAATTGACAAGTGATAAATCAAGATGTTTAAAAAACATAACGGGGAAATTTCAAAAGTTTTAATTATTGTTTTTAAATTATTTTATATTGTCAATCAAGTTGTTACTGAGGTTCTGAGAATGTTTAGATAATTTGTAGTTCCTGGATTTTGAAAAGTTTGACTCGTGGCAGACCGTCAGTTCCAGTACTTTGATCGTGTCTAGGTAGAGAAGAGCAATATCGGGACGAAGTGATCTGAACATTTGTAAAATAAGCTCAGAGAGAAGACAAAACAACTTCTACGTCACTTGAACAGAATGAATAGATGCCGGCATGCTAGTTTGGTTCATCAACGCTACCACTTTTTCATATTTTCATTTTGATAATTTATATCAAACAAAAGGCCTTCAGTGTTTTTAATGGCCAAATATGCGTCTTTCACAAATATATTAATTTCTCTTTCTGTAAATTAACGTATAATAATTAACGTATGTAAATTCTGTATAATAATTGTCAAAGTATTTTTGAAATCAACTCCATAATTTGTTAATTTTTCAACAACAAACAGCTCTTATAAAAAAACTTCCAAATTTTTTAAATATTAAAATTTCACAATAGGCTTTCACAAAAATAACGATAAAATAATTTTACATAATTTTAATAATGATTACAAATACAATAATTTAAAAAAAAACAATAAAATCAATTGATTCGATAAAAATTTTGAAAGCATTGCCTAGAGACTGCAAAAAAACCAAAAATAAATTTATCATAACGTAAGAACGATTAAAACAATATTTAAAAACACCATATGGAGCAAACAATATGAAAAAAAATACAAGACAAAATTCACTGTTTTAAAAAAATTAAAAAGCAACAAATAATATCAAACAGATACTGTGAATGTAAAGAAAAATTTGATATAAATGTCGCAATAACATCTAGTCCGAACAATTTGAATTGTAAAATGTCAGTTCAATTATAATAGAAATTATACAAACAAATATTAAGTAAAACAAAATGCTTTGGTGATCAATACATTTTATAAAAAATTTTGTAAAAGAGTACAATTGTTACAATGACAGCATTTTAATAAAATAAATAATATCTTGAGAAATAACGGGAATAAGAACAAAAGAATGTTTATTAAAAAAGTTCAGTTAATATTAATAGCTACCAAGGTTACACGTTTTTAATATCTGAAACATGACAACGAATGATATTATAAATATAAAACTTATGTAAAAAAATTAATTTGAAAGCATCATCCCTCATTAAAATGTATGCGCGTTTCGACAAATGCCGCAGCCTAGAGCAAATTCAGTGCCCGTTGCAGGATGGATGATATTTAATGGACATTGGTTGCCTTCCAACTGCCTGGCTTTCGAACCAGCCGGACAGTGAGGCAACTCGTTAACAGAAATTGACGTAATACGCTGGAAATCATCGTGACATACGTTACAGAAATGAGTTGTCCCAAAACAAAAAAATACAGCAACCGAACAGCAGTAACGACACTTGTATTCCAAAAAATCTGCTCCATGTTTCGGACATATTTGGGCTCTCGAAACATCAGAACAGGCACCACATACCAATTCGGAAGCGTCATAGTCTTCAAAACCATTAGCACCACCGACGACTTGTTCTTCACATCTAGCCTCACCTCCGTAGTATGCTTTGTCACATTTCGAGCATACGTAGTATGCATATCGATTCAACGCGTATCCGGCCGGGTCGTTGAAATAAGCCGATCCTTGAGCGACTATAGAGTTGCTACAATGCAGTCCTTCATATTCCAGTCGCATCAATGCTTTCCGTCTCACGTCTTCGTAACGGTTTTTGATGGGCGTCAATAACTCGTTCAACGCTGGATGATTCATTTCCGTTTTACAAATAGGACACAGAAAAAAATTGAATGTTATTCTTGGTCCAGGCCATTTAGAGACTAACACTTTTTCACAGCAGGGCAAGTGAAAAACATGACCGCAAGAAAGTTGAATGGCTGGAGCTCTAGAAAGAGCATCTGAGAAACAAATCATGCACATATCATCCGCATCCTGTTTTAAAGATATTGAAGTGTCAGAACTTTTACACCCATACAAACAGGGCAAACATTTTTCTTCATTTTTAATGCCTCCACACATGTGACCACAACTTAAAACTTTAATACATGCTTTGGAATATAAATTCATGCAATCTGGTTGATTACAAGACATGCCAGCTATTTTATCTTCTATCCCGTTCTCGCAAGGTGAACCACAAAATCGGCAGAATTCATTTTTTTTCGTGAAAACAAGATTTAAGCTATCTGAAGATATGTTGTGATTATCGATACCTCGAAATTCTATGATGGCTTTTAAATTTTTTGTGTCCACCAAAGCTAGTAGCCAAAACAATTTTATTCGACCACAAATTTCGTGACAATCAACTTTGATCGATTCCCGCTCTTCTTTGAAGATCTGTCGTTGATGATCTTTAGTTTTCTTACTTAAATGTAACACACGATTGCATTCAGAGCACAAGTTTCCGCAGATAGAGCAATTCATTATGGCATATGTTTCACCGTCGTCGTGATTTTCACAGGAAATATTTTTTGTTTTTTCGGAACCAACTTTAGCGTCTGTTGAGGTAGATAACTTTTCAGCATCGTCTTTATTTAATATGCACAGAGAAGCGAGTGTCATCCAAAAACAAATTGTCTGGACACAAGCATTTGGATATCGTCTTTCATCATGCAGTCTCGACAATTTCAAAATATTGTCACGGATAGCGGATTTTGTAACTGATGACCAAAATTTTGTTATTTTCCCTTCAGACAAATCTGTTAAGAAACTAATAATCAATTCAGCTAATTGAACAGATGAAGAACCTTTAAGCCACCAACATTTCAAATTCAGTTTATGTAGTCGATTGTCTGCTAGTGTACATGTATCCGCCGATGACGCACCAGCAGTTTTCGATTGTTTTATTTGAATGGTTATACTTTTAGCTATACATGATAAAAATATATCCAGTATTCCTACTGCATCTTCTTCGACATCGTTTTCAAAATTAAGTCCTAGGATTTCAGAAAATTTTATTGGATCGACGTACACTAACAAACGCCTTAACAACAGTACCACCTGCCTTTGAACCCTGGCTGTAGATGTGTGTAAAAGAGTTAAAAGGTCTTTTAATAAACTGTTCTGTTGGGCTACAAATAAGCATCCAACTTTAGATCCAGTTAGAGCCATTAGCAATGAAAGCAATTCAAAACAATATTTATCTGAATGTTCTTTAGCATTTACGCATTTATCTTGCAAATTATTCCACTTGTTATAAACGTCGACCGTTTCTTTTTGAATTGCCTGAAGCATGTACGTGCAAACCTGTTTTTGCATATTTGTCAATTTGCGCTGACTAAACAATATACCGACCATGTGCTCTTTGAGATTTGCTGTGTTATTTGAACTATGCTCTTCTGATGTTACTAACTCTTCAGAAGTAACCAACGATCCAAAAACTTGTGATGTAAGAAATTTAAAAACATTCAAGGTTTCTTTTTCGCAAAGTGCGTATTGCAAAACTTCATTGAAAATACCAGACGGTAACTCAATGAAATGCTTATAAAAGGGGCATTCCAACAACTTAATCTGTCTCACCCTCAAGCTATTATCTGGACCTTTCAATTCTAATTTAATAAAATTTGTTGACTCTTTTGTGAACCAAACGCTAATCCAGCCAGCAAATCGAAGTTCGATTTCAACGTGTTTATCAACATAAAGATCTTCTTGGTTTGTGCCCGAACTAACGACAACACTGGTTACTTTATTGTTTAAGTCTCTAACATTATCGATGTGTATGCAAAGGAGCATGGGGTTCTGATCTTTTGAAAGTGATAGTGTAATCAGTTTGGATTTGTTTCGATCTTCATCACCACTTTCCCAAAATGTTTCTGTACATTGATCAGTTAAACTTACAACCATCTGTGGATGACTTGAAGTGATTATTTCAGCAAAGGATGTTATATCCTTTAACTGGGTAATGTAATTAAACGGCGCACAAGATGTATTTAATAAACTTTTATGCACCACTTCCGAATTAGAAAGAATTTTACTTATGCTATTAAAAACGTTGCATTGATGCAAAAAGTCATGATCTATGGGTTCGAATTTAAAAAACCAACTTCTTATAGCCATCAACTGAACAGGACTGCCATGGGGTATTAACATCATCACATCTGACAAACTTTGAAGAAAAGAATAAAAGCTATCTAAAATCAAATTCGAATGAGTTTTAACAAAAACGACATCAGTTAAAGGATGCTGACAAATAATTTCATTGCAATCACTATCTGTTTCTTTGTTGAGATATTTCATTCTGGACAAACAATCCTTATCTTCATCGGAGTACAAAGCCAAAGTAGAAACAAAATGCCAGAGAAGATCATGTATTGAGGATAATTCGCTAACCTGTCTAAAAAACCAATTGAAAGCTTGTAAGGCATGCACACGACATGCTACTTTACACGTGGCCAACTTCATGCCTTTTTTCAAACATTCCAAGTCGTGAATTTGAGTGCAAAATTGCATTAATGGTTGACACATCAAATATTCGCTTACTGATATTTTGTTTGATTGCATTTCTTTCTCAGTTGCCTGAATAAGACAAGTCATTTGATATGACGGATGATTCAAAAGTGACAAACCTCTTGAAGTTTTCTTCAGCAAAATATTTTTTGAACTAGAACTTTCAACACTTTTGATTCCCATTCCAATAGCTGGTCCCATTTCTGAAATGCTTCTGTGAAAGCGTTGAAAAGTTTGATTATCTGGAGTTAAGTTTGCGTGTTTGCTGAGGTTATATGACGTGGCAGACATGTTCCCAGCTTCAAATTTGTACTCTCCATAAACTGATTTTGGCCTGGAACGACATGAAGATTGATGGTTGGTTGCCGATATTTGAGTAGTGATAGAACTGTTCATCGGTTTTCTCCCAATTCTATATGAAAATTCTCCAGTAACTATATCTTGGTTACTCAAATCTGTTTCTGTCGTTGCCATGTCATGCAAATTTATGTAACTGAAAGGAGTAGGTGGAAATTGATAAGGTGAAGTCATATTTTCTACCTCTGCTTCAGATTTATTAAATGAAGACGAAGAGTTGTAATTGAAAAAATCCATAATGAATGTGGCATTATTCTTAATAACATTGTGATAATCACTAATATAAGCAAATTCCTTTTTGCATTCAAAAACGGGCTTACTATGTTTGCTATTGTTCAAATGTGAGCTTGCTTGCCAGTTGGTTTGGTACCTTGATCTACAAGACTCGCAAATTAAATACCAAGTACTTGTTCCCAATCCTCCATCTCCACAGTTTCCAGCCCAGCCCTCACAAAACAGACCTCCACTGTTGTAACCTTGACCTCCAGCAGATTTGCCACAACCAGGATGATTCTGACGCATGTGGTACGTGATGGGATTACTGCAAACCACTCCACACAGATCACAAGCTATTTCCTTTTCACTTTTGTCTAATGACTTAGATTCATTGAGAAGATTGTGCTTTGACGATTTGGAAGCAGGTGATGGTAATTTGTAATTTAAGTCAATTTCGTTACTTGATTTGGCCGATAAATATGAAGAATTTTCTATCATCTTTAGGGTAGCTTTAGAAATATCCTGCCAAATCTTTACTAAATGCTTCAAAGTGGGCAATTTCGGAGATAACATTTTCACAAAAGTTTTTGCAGCATTTAAATCAATGCCATCGTTATTATTATTATTATTACTATTACTACATATTATGTTATTATTACTGTTGTCGTTGTTATTGTTGTTAGTGACATTTATATAAATAGCATTAATGTTGTTGTTGTTAATATTGGACTCATTAGATGAAGATTTTTCGGTGAGAACAGAGTCAACATCATTAGACAACTCTTCCACGCCTTCTGCTCCTCCTCCATAAACCTGATCATCTTCATACAAGATATTTTTCGTCTCGCCAGTTCTAAGGAAAAAATTTCATTTATAAAACAAATTATAGATAGAACAAAAATAACTTAAATAAACAGCAACATTGTCGTGAATATTACCAATTAATAAAATAAAATAAGAAAATACTGACTTCAAGTTATTAGATTCTATCCCGTCTAAGCAGTGTTCCTTAGTGAAAGAAGGATGAAATTTAAGGAAGGAAGCGCACGCCATGGCATCTTGCACGATGTCTTCTTTCCACAAAAATACAGCAAACATAGACCTAATGCACTCTGCAACTGATGGCGATATGGCATGACACATGGTGGGTAACGATGACGATGCTGATGTCAATTTGCCATCTGATGTTTGCTGTTGGTGATTTGGAGACGGTGATGTTAAGGAGCAAGTTATTTTCTCTTTTTTCAATCTACTCATTCTTAATCTATCTCTCTTTGAAGATCTCACATAAAACCTGAAATTTAAAATATTTAAAATTCCGTTGAACCATGTATGAGGAAACAATTTTCCTAACAAGACGCGAATATGTAACAATGATAATTTAAATATTTATATCTTTCTTTCAGGAACATATAAATTACAAATAGAAACAGCGGAAAACAAAACACAACATAACACAATACTTGTTTGCTTGGTTTCTTTTGTGGTCCCCTCCATTGCACCTGTGGGATCCAACTGGTAGCGATGAGGACCGTGAATATGTTGCAGATGTTGTGCTCGTTCTAGGTGGACTGAAACTTATGCTTCGATAGTTGCTTTAACACGTTCAAAAAGACAAATAAATAAACAATAATAATAACTAATTAAAACTTTGAAAGTAAAAACAAATTAATTATAATGACCAAAAAAATGACCAAAAATGAAAATATACAAGTAAAATAATTTATATTTTCCGCTACTACAAAAGTAGTTATTTTTTACAGACATAAACCTCGTTTAAGTATGACAATAAAAATGTAATAAAAAATAAAAACCTGTCGGTGGCGAGTTTGATGAGTCGTTGGTTCAAAAGGGCGTCATTGTAGTGAAAAGATGGCGGTTCACTTGTTGCGTAGTCCATGAAAGGTAGAACATTCAAGTTGTTTTGATCTTCAATCAACGTATCATCTGAATTTGATTCATTCGACCATTTGTTTTATAGTAATCAAATAGGTCATGTTCCAATTTTCGAATGAAAGTACTCACTGAATGGTTTTTTGACTGGTATGGACTTCTTCGGAGTAGGTGGCGGCGCGTTGCCGTTTCCGTTAAACAAATTGTCACCTGATTTGTTATGTGACGTTTTAAAATGGATTAAAATTTGAAACTTAAAAAATTTTAATCAAAATTGTATTTTTAAATAAATCACTATCTGCTGCTCAAAGTTCAGTTCAAAGAGTTGCATGAACGATCACCTTTCTGCTCACACATTATATCGTTTGTATATTTTGTTTTGGTAAAAATTAACAAAAATTCACAAAACTAAGAGTCTATTATTCACATTCCTTCAGGCTAAGCCAGTTTGCATTAAAATATTTAACAAAATATTGAACGCACCTGTCTTGTGAATAAGTTTTTTGACAGCAACAACATCCATAACTTTGTTGTTGTTGTCTCGGTTGCTCAGAACGATTTCATCTTCTTTAAATTTCTTATCATCTTCAATAAAACAGACATGGCATTATTAACAATACATTAATTATTTCTACTATAATTATAACTAAATGAATATATTTAAGCAGGGTGTCGTAGTAGGATGAAAATGTTTCCGACTCTGTGATTTAATAGTTTCGGACTCTGGCTCTGACACCAGATGAAAACTTTTGATACCTGACTTAGGGCTCCGACTTCCAGAAGAGTATTTTAAACTTTTGTTTTAGTTTTATTCAAATACTTAATAAAAATACTTAATACTAAAATACTTTATGAAGATATTTGTAACAACATTCCAAATAAGTTAATATAACTGTTTTCCTTAGTAAAATTATTCTTTGTTAATGTCTTAAAATGTACAAAAAAATTAAATTTAGCTTTGTATTTACTACGAACTGCTTATTTATTGTTCGTGGCTAAACAAAAAAACGTTTTTGGCTGATTCACAAGGATGCAAATTTCATAATTGACAAAATCTATAACATTAAAATCTTATGAATAAAAAAATTTTTTAGTGAAGCTCTAAGACAGTTAACAACACTACACAACGTACTAAAAAAATGGGTACCATATTAAACAAATAAAAATGATTGCACATCAGGTTTGCTAGCATCTATGAAAATTAAAGATGAAAGCGTATTGCTGAACATGTGTATTTTTGGAAAATCACGAGCTTGAAAAATCATTTTTAGATGATAAGTTTGTTTTTTCAAACTCTTAACACTTTCCAAAATTGAATGAAAAATATACAACTCAGACTCCGGTCCATCAAAAAAATCCGACTCCGTCAAAAGCCCCCGATTCTGACCGCTGATCTAGACAACTCTAACGAGGGGAGCCAAGAAATTAACCAAACTAGGTTGGTGATTTATTTTTTGTTCACCACGACAATTTTAGGTCAATGTTTGACTAAAAACTGAGTTTTACTAACTTCTGACTTTGATAAAAATATTGTCAAAAATGCGGGCCATGGCCTAACCCAGCCCCCATAGATCTGCCAAAACTACCAACTTGAATAACTATATCAGCGCCAAATTAAAAAAAATCAAACTATACTACGTGTTTAGTAATTAATAGATAATGATAAATATTCGGTGGATTCAAAATATACCTTGGGATTTCCATTACCAAATTATACATTGTCATGCCCGGGAGATAGAGTGCTATATGATTCTATTAAAAAACTACTAGTTTAATTCACTATATCACCGCCCCATTTCCAAAAATAATCAAACTAGAGTTTGTAGTTCATAAAAACTATTCGTATCTGAAAACTAAAAATGATAACTAACTATTCCTGTTTAAAAACTAGGCTTTACTGACCTAATAACACTGCTCACAACGGGAGAGCCATGGCCTCCGGCTCACCCTTCTAGATCTGCCACTGCCTACAACCTATACTTCATATCAACTTTTCAATATAAATTTGGGCCAATAAATGAAACTAACAGAATATGTTGCGAACAGCCATCATTGCGTTATCATTTAATCGGCATTTGAAGAAATCGAATCCTCTGTTACTGTTGTTCATAGGAATAAGTGGTGATGAAGAGGATAACGACGGCGATGATGTTTTCACAAGATATACGTCACCATGCGATGATTCTGCAAGACACCAGGCTGGCTTGCTGATGTCACTATCATTATCATCTTCATCATCTTCATCATCATTGATGCAGTACTTAATTTTACTTGCATGGTCCAACTGAACCCACAAGCCTTCCCTAGTTTTTTCCTTCATGAACGAAAATTCAAAAATAAGTATGAAAAATATTATTAAATCAACGTTTAATTGATAATCCATTAGGCATTCAAAAATGCGTCAACTGCATTTTCACAGTAAAAATTACAAAACACAAACAAATATTAGACAACCTAAAGTAAACCAATTATAAACTAATAAAATGATAAACTTTCAAACCTAACTTACCTCTGAAACAATCGCAACCTGATCTCCAAGTTGTAAGACTCCGATCGTTTGTGACTGAAGCAAGGGTACAGACTTGATGCTGTGGTTCCTTGTTAAAGTACCGCAACATTTGATGGCTGTGTATGTGCTAGAAACTGGAGGGTGTGTCATTACAAGGTTTACTTGGTTGTGCAGTACAATTATCATTTGCTGAGTGAGATACAAACTAATAAATCAAGAGCATTATTTCAAAAAAAAATTCATCAAAAAAACAAAAAAAACTTTAAACTTTTTTCCTGTCCATTATGCACATCATCCGGGTTTCTTCTTATATTATTGTTGAAAATTCTGTAATCTTCATGGCATAACATATTTTCCTTGTTTTTGCTATCTTTCATAACCGGAAAAAGAAAAGTTTTTTTAAGATGTTGATGGTATTGTAGGACCCAGCTCTCAGTGTTGCTGTTGTAAGGTACACAGTACTTGCGCATGCTCTCTTGCGATAACTTCAACCACACTCCATCATTGTTTTGAAGCTTTGGAAATAATAAAATTCATCACAGGATATAATAAAGTCGCAGTCGATACAAAAAAAGAAAAATATACAAGCAATAAATGACAACCGATTTAATAATAATCAACTAGTAACTAACAGCGATAAGAAGCTAACGAATGTGATATACTTGTGTGGTGAATGATATGACGTCATTGTTCTTAATTATGCCAATCTGTTCACTCTGAAGTGACGGATGCACGCGAATTCTCAATCCTGCACTTTGCTTGCATATGAACTGTCTAACCTGTTTGGAGTTGTTGTATCAATATCACTGTCAAGCGACCAGATTCGCAAACAGATATAAATAACGTGTAGATATACTTTGTTGGTTTGATTGTCGTGCTTGTTCGTCTGACTGTTTGGCGCGGGAAGGAACTCCCTGGGCGCCTCTTTGATGTGCACTTTCAGCGGTGTGCCTGGTATCAGAATGTGGTGCTACCATAAAGTTTTGTCACATTTTTTTGACGAAAATGATGAAATAATACTCCGAAAATATTATATCCCGTTCAATTGAAATGTCACACATTGTTAATTAATACAATTTACGTCAACCGAAAGCAGGAAATAACCAGAATTAGAGGAATTAAAATTTAAAGTCATCCAGATTAACATCGCCACATTAGTTGCTGACTGCTAACCAATTTTAATGTTGTCAAAAGTGACTTGGACATCATAGAAGCCCGAAGAAGCAGGCGTCCAGGTGGCAGTGTATGTACCATCCTGCTCGTCTCTCATGATCATCGTCTCCGCTGGTCGCATCATGGTCGGCGTGGAGTATCGAAGTTCCTCAAACGAGTACAAGTCATACGCCTGTACAATGGTTAGAAAAGTTTCATTATTTTCAATTGACTAACTTGTAAAATTTAGAAACCATCCATTCTAGTAAAAATATAGCCGAAACACATGAAATTCAAGATGAAAATTTTTAATTTCCATATAAGATGGAACGGAAGTTTTGTAATAAAATCCTAACAGTTCTGAGCTGATACGCAAGAAGCGTACTCACACCATTGTTACAATATAAATAAATATTGAAATTATAAACTTCTTTTTATGTTGATTGCTTTTAATCTATTGTGTCAGCATGATCAACCTTCATCATTGTGATGGAATGATAGGTTTCCTTTTTTTCACGAGTGGTCACGTGATAGGGCACATCAAGCTTTGGTGGCGGATGACCTCCAAAAGACCTTGACATGTCCTTCAAACCATTATTGATTTTCTGATTCTGGACATAGTCAGGTATATCTTTCAAAATGAGGACGGCCTTAGCTTCGACCTTCAGAATTCATTTTTTTTTGTAATGATAGAAATAAAAAATATCAAAATCTATTTTTAAGTAATTCCTTCCTGTTTAACTTAACACAAAAATAATTTTTGATGAAAGTATAAAATTCTAAACGAGCAGCTAAAAAAACGTTATGAAAAATAATTCACAAATCACGAAAAAGAAGTAGGTAGTAAGTAACCTTGAGACCCTGAACATTCGCCAGAGAACCATATTGATCCTTGGTTTGTATGAAGATGAGACACGGCCATCCCCTGTGCAAGTCATTCTTGCTGCACGTCACTACGCAGTTCGATGGCTCCAAGTAAGGTTCCGGCTGCAGCCAACTAACATATGCAAAAATAACTGATGAAATATAAAGATGTGAACCAATAAGTCTTCAATCCATGCATAAATATTAAATACAGCGAGCATCCGATTAAAAAGACATAGATAACTAATTTAGAATGATTGAAGAAAAACATACGCAGCCAATCTCCCGCCACTGGTTCCTTTCTTCCTGTTTACAAAATCATCCAAGAAAATTCTCTGATGTGTTAGGTGCAGTGCAGGATAAAGCCCCTGCAGCATCTGGTTGATGGGTGGGAGAGGAGTGGACGAGGGACAGGTGCCTTGAAGGAGACCATTGTGTTTTGTGTACACCTACATTGATAAAGGTTAGTCAAAATCACTCATTGGTCATAAATAGTTTAAAAGAAAGATTTTCTTGAAAAGCATCGAAACATGTCCTTTTTAACGTGAAATAAATCTGCAAGCTTAGAAGCTCGGTGCCTGTTAATAATTGCCATTTAAACGGCATCTACTCCAATCAATATATTAAAAGATACATTTATCTGTGGAACGAAAAGATACAAAAGTTACAAAAATTCTCTCAGTTTTGACATAAACATTAAAAGAACAAGAAATCGGACAAGAAAACGTAAAGAAAACAAAAATTGAAAAAAGAGAACCAAGATTAGTAATGTTGATAGGTAAAGGAAAATTGTTTTTGACAAAATTCTGGCTAAAAGTACAATAAAACTAAAAAGAAATGTGCATAGATTTATAAGCTTATAAATGACAATCTAAATAATGACTCACAAGACCTCAAAAAACTAACATTTTGAACAGTTTCTTCAATCATTGCTATTTCTTCTTTAGACTCTGTGCCTATAATTTTATAAAAAAAAGCATGACAAACAAAACTTAAAAAGAACAAAATATTTTTCATAATTCAAATTATTTAAATAGCAATTACAATCGTATCAAAAACAACCAAAGCTTACAGAATGGAAATGCAATATTTTTTGCCAACAAAGAGCCTGCACAAACTCCGGCTAATTTCACCAATTCGTGTTCCAAACACTCCAAACCCTGGAATAATAAGTCGCATCATTTTTCCATAATAAGGCATCTCAAATGAAATCATCTGACTACATAACTCATGGCAAATCATTCAAAATCCTCAAGAATCTAACCTTGAAACTTCCGATGGAAGTCAGGCCTTGAACTTGACATTTGAATCCGTACGAGGTTTGCTTCTCATCCTTCAAGTAATACGAAGCTGTCTCTAGGGATAGGCACAACTTGTTTCCTTTGAAATCAAATTACGCACAATTTAAAAAAAAAGTAAAATAATCAGCCACGTAAATGACGAGTCGTGTGCAGTGGCCTAGGGACTATTAAATGGGCTCCAGACGAATCTCTCAATCGAGCTCCTAAAACGAAATTCATATGTTTTCGCGCCTTTATACAAAAAACCGTCAAATGCTATACTTATCTATAAATACATAAATTTTTCAAAATATATTTAATTTTAACTAATAATATTGAGACAAAAATATTTTGTTTACATCTTATTTAATTTGTTACCATTGTTAAAGAGTCTCAATTAAAGTTTTCGATATAGAATTTTTTTAATATAGAAACCAAAGAAAATGCGCCTTCATTAAATTGCACCACGGGCAACTTCTCAGACTCGGTTCCATTTTCTACCTTACTGACCTGCGCATAGACAACTACTAAAACAGAAAACATGAACAAACCAGGTAAGATGATGGCTTTCTTGGGCCACCCGTCGGCACCACTCATCCTTTTGTATGCGGTCATCCATTCATCCCACGACATCTTCCCGTCCACTTTATCCACTTTTGCACTCGTTTCATCATCACCACGATCCTCTTCATCACTAAGATTAAGGTCATTGTCTTTTACAACTTCAGAACATTTTTTCTTTCCC